CCTGCTAATGGTTTGGATCTTGAGTGTCCCCTAAAGTTTCCTGTAATAGAGGCTTGATCCTCAGTTTGGTGTTACTAAGAGGTAGTGGAAAAGTTGAAAGAAGAGGCCTAGTGGTGTATGAGTCCCTGTGGATTTCTATTGTGGGACCTTTGTCGTCCCCCCCCCCCCCCGTTCATAGGTGAGCAGTTTTGCTCTGCCACATGTTCTTGCGATGAGGTGCCCCCAAAGCAGCCAGGCAAACTCATCATGGACTAAAACCTCTCAAACTGTAGGCTGAAACAAACCTTTTCTCTTTATCAGTTCATCATCTCAGGTGTTTGTTTTAGCAATGGAAAGCTGACTAACACTTCCCAGTTGTTCAAACCCCATTAGCTGAATTAAGTACCTCTTCCCCAGGACCATCATGGTAACTTGAGTGCCTGTATCTATAGAACTGTGAAAGTTTGAGTCCTCTTTCTCAAATTCTGCAACATACTTGGATGAGTGCATAGGGTTTTAGTCCTTCTGGGGTCAAGGATACTGTGGCCACTTGTGATAATTTTTCTTCTTAGAGCAGATGTCAGGGTAGAGGACAAGAGAGGGGAACGGGATGTGGAGAGAGACTGGTCCTGCTTCAGTAATCAAGGAGTGTTTATTTTCAGTCTCAAGTCGTCTGACAGTTACTCATAGTTTAAGCTAATGGACTTTTCATTCATCCAATGATGCATCTCATTGCTGACATCATTTGTTTCAGATTGGGAGACTCCTGTATTTTTTTTTTCCAGCTACAGCCACATTACCTTTCACTGGGTGCCATGGGCCTGCCTCCTTGTCATGGTAACATCCTTTCTTCCTCCCACTCAGGGTTGTGGGGGGCGACAATCAAAGGACCTGTGGGCAGCCTGTTTCAAACCTGCTAGACATTGAATGTCTTCCATGCCCACCACTTCGGCAAGAACATTTGCTGCTAGATCTTGTGGAATCTTCTAATGTCTTCTAAGCCCATAGAACTTTTGTTAGGTTCTGACAAGTAACTAGGTACTTATAGAAGACATGAAACATGCGGTTTCGAAACAAAGTACGGTATTATTTATGGCATGTGAGCATAACCTTGTTAAAAGAAAAACTAGGCAAAATTTAGCAGTTTATTGAACAAAGAATGATTCATTAATTGGGCAGCAACAGAAAGGTGACTCAGAGAACTTTAGCAGAGCTAGCAGCAAGGTTTTGTAAACTAAACATAGAAAAAATGGAGACATCATCCAACTGACTTCTCTAGGCGTTTGGTTTATTACGGTAATAAGACAGTCATCTTACTTAAATGTGTAGGGGATGTCTCTGGTTGTGTAACCAGTTGGCTGGTTAGTTGGTTGTGATGGGTGGAGGCTTGTGGTTTATATTGTTTTTATTTTTGCTTGTAAGTTAATTACAAAAAATGTTTTCAAGTTAAAGTCCCAGTTGCATATATAAGAGCTGTGGTTATAGGAACAACTTCAGACTGACCACTTCCTTCTTATTTCTTTTAATAACCTTCATGTTTCTGTCAGTTCCTTTCCCTCCATAAGTCACACTGATGAGTGGCCTCAGTGGATGCTGCTCAGGTGGTGGGTTTGTGTCACAGTTGGAGCACCGCATTTGGTAATCCAAATCTTGATGTCAGAAAACAGCTGGGTTAGAGATAAAGGCTTCTATACTGGTGGCACAGCCACCACCAAGAACTTCTTGTCTAGATCAGTTCTTCTTTCTCCATAGTTCTACAGAGTCCATGTAGGATGACCAAGGTATCATAGCTGTGGAGCCCCGAGTTTAGGCAGTCCAGATTCTTCAGAAGGGGTATTAAGCAGCTTTACTTCGGAGGGAGATCTTATTTTTATTTTCCTGGAGAGTGAACAACTTGTCCTGTTTTTAGTGGAGGATATGAAATCTGTCTTAGTGGGCTGGATAAAAAGCATGTCTGCCATAAGACAGGCAGAAATGTAAGAGACCCATGGAGAAATAAATGTTCTCATAGAACATTGTTCTATGTTGTACATAGAACAAGAATTAACATTCTTCCTGATGATTATGAATCAAAAAAATAATATATTCACTATGCCTATCTTAAGGAAAAGAATATGAAATATTCTTTGCAAAAAGTGAAGTGTCCAACTCTCTGGAAAACTCAGCCGTCCAGAATCATTTTCTGAGTCTTACATACCTTGAGCAGAGAAAACAAATGATAGTTTTGCCTTGCCCTAAATTGAAGGTCTGTGGAACTGCAGGTGGGAATAGTAATCTCAGGTTTATTTATTTAGCATTGATTATGTCTTGTCCTTAGGCATGTCCAGCTGTTTAGGCCATCATGTGGTAAATTAGCGATAGCATGGAGAAAGAAATGTGTAGTTGTCATATTTATCTAGTATTTATTTTGGACCTGCTGTGTTACTTAAACAACAAGTGAAAGATTTTTAAAAAGCCAATCTAAAGAGTTTTATTAAAATTAAATCATAAGTTAGTATGTTCAAAATATCTTTCTCTAAAGTTTTATGCCAGTGAAAGATGATTAAGCTGATCTTTGTAGTATCATGGCACTTTGGTCTATAATATACAAGTAAATTAAAAAAGGCCAAGAAGTTATCAAATGTTTGTTTAGTCCTCACAGATACTCACAGGTCCTTATGTACAGTTTCATATCTTAAAAAATCATGCTTTTGAAAATATTTGAAGCAGATTTTTGTAAATTTTGTTCTTTTATTATAATGGCTGATTTTTATTTTTTATTGTTACCAAGATCCACGTTTAGAACAAATTTTTCTCCATATGAAGGTTAAAAATAGATTAAAGTGGAATTGATGTCTTCCTTTTAGTCATAATCTTAAGTGTGAACTAATTATAATCTCATTCTTTTGAACTTTAAACTGAAATTTTATATTGTTATTAATTTGCCATGGTTAAGTTTTCTTTAATAGATAAACATTTACCTACCAGATTATGCTCACTGCTGAGTATTTCTACAAAGGAAAATAAAAAGAATGTAGGTTCCCCACCATCACTAGCCTTAAACTTTTTAAAAAGTAAAATGACATGTCTGAATGATACTTACTAGAACATAAGAATTACTTATTTCAAAATCATTAAGGCCAGGGATTTAGCTTAGTGGCACCATGTCTGCCTCACAAGCCCAAGGTCCTGAGTTTGATCCCCAGTAATCAATCATTAAGAAGCAATTTCAGAATCATTTGCATTTTCCTCCTAGCAGAACTCTATACTTCTTACTTAGCTTGTTTTTGAGAAGAGATTTTGCTCTGTTGCTCGGGATGACCTCAAACTTCTGGTCTCAAATGACCCTCCTCTGTCAGTCTCTGGAGTAGCTGGGACTATAGGTGTTCAGTTCCACACCCAGCTTACTCTATTTTTCTCCCTGGTCATCAGTGCTGGTTTAATTACCTTACCTACAAGAATAAAAAACTATTTTGTACCCTATTTATTTTCTTGTTCTAAAAGGAAGGCAATGGACTCTATGATCTATATAATATTGGTTCCTAAGTCCAGAGGAAAATTAAGTATTTAGGGTAATATACACAAATATTTTTTGTGCATTTCAAGAGCTGTGCATTTTTCATAGTGTTAAGACTGGCTGTAAACCAAATATTTATGATAATTTTGTTTTTACAGTACTTTCTGTATGAGTGTGTGTATGTGGTATTGGGGATTGAATCCAGGACCCTTGAACTGAACTATTTCTCTAGCCCATTTAAAACATTTTTATTTTGAGACTGGATTTTGAAAAATCACTTAAGTTGCCCAGGCTAGCTTGAACCTATGATCCTCCTGCTTTAGCTAACCAGAGTGCTGGGATTATAGATGTATGCCGCCAGACCTAGCTTGATTTTATACTACCTAAAGTGAGGGATTAGGTATAACTATAAAATATTTCAATTTTTACAACCCTCTAGCAGCTGTTAAAATCACAGTCATACATCCTACTTCTTAGACATCTGCTGGATACACTAAGGAAGGTTAGCCAGTGTGCTACTGTGTCCACTCATTGTAGAAATCTTCATATTAGCTGCTTTGGTCCTTGAGTGCTTTTCCTACTCTTAAAACGTCTAATAGCTCACTTTGGGTTCCATTTTCTTGGGAATAGGCCAAGAACATCCTTGTTTCAAACACTGGAAAGCAGTGCCAGGCTTAGTGGTATATACCTATAGTGCCAGCCACTCAGGAGGCTGAACTGAAGAGATCATTTGAGCCCAGGAGTTCAAGACCAGCCTGTATAAGACAGCAAGACCTTGTTATAAAAAGTACAGCAAGTGATGGAAGGCAGATAGACTGTTAAGACAGTCCATCTTAATTATTGAGCAGATTCTGTGTTTGGGAATTCACCTCCTCACTGAGATGTACCTGTAACCTAATCCGAAAAGCAATATTCAAAGTACTTTTCCAGTCATCCTTGGAGATTGCAGAGCAGTGCAAAAATTGAGTCTTCCCAATGCTCACAGCTGAGCATCAAACAAGGCAATTCTTTGCCTTCTTTCTTTAGCTCTTGGTACTCTAAACAAGTATTCAGTTTGTACTCATATTTTGCTCATTCTTGATGAATTTGCTAATGATAATGGCCTTAAGTTTAGTGCTAAAGTGCTGTCAAGTGTCCTAAAGTGCAAGATGGATGTGATATGCCTTACGGAGGAAACATGTGGTAGATAAGCTTTGTTTGGACATAAGTTACAGTGCTTGGCTGTGAATTCAGTGTTAATGACTTGACATTGTGTATTATATGAAATGTCCGCAAACAGAACATGCATGAAGTGAGGCTATAAATGACTGACAAAACTCTTGTGACCAGAGGCTCCCAGGAACCTAAATTTGTGTTTCTCCTACTGATATGCTAGTTTTTTCTTCAGGAGTCACCTTGCTAGTTTATGTTCTTCATCTGGTATGAACCCATCTGCCATGGATGGGTTCCCATGTGTCATTGGGAGAGTTAGGTAGCCTGGTGGCAGCTTGTCATGATTTTCCTAGATTGTGGATTTCTGCCGCAGACTCTGAAGGCTGAAGGCCCATCTCAGCTGAAGGGCTGAAGACTCCCAAGCCACGAATCCTTCTTTGCTGTGTTGGCACCTACACCAGAAGAGCAGCACTTAATTCCCAGTAAGGACCAGGAAAGGGACACTGGGCTGCTCTGATGCAGTGATACTGCTGGAGAACTGGCTGTCTGCTCCATAAGGTACCAGCCCAAACTTGTTTTTAGGTAGGAATGTTTAAAGACCTTCCTAAGCCCCAGGTGTTCTTATTTTTCAAAGCCCTACCCTAAATTATATTATTAAAATACACTCAGGTTGCACATCAAATTGAACCTATATATAAAATCATGAAGAGAATTGAGTTGTTGATATTTAAGTATTAATTTTGGTTTTAAAATGTTTTGATATTTTGAACTAATATGTTTTTCCCCAAGTCTGAAGCTCTCCTTTTTCTTTCTTTCTCCTTCCTTTCTCCCTCCCTCCCTTCCTCCCTTCTTCCACCTTTTATTCTCTCCTCCTTCTCTCCCTCTCTCCTTTGTTTTCTTGCTCATTCCTTTCCTCTTTCCCTTTCTTTCTTGGGATTCTAGACTCTAGAGCATGTTAGGATAAGCATTTTACCCAGCCCTTAAACTTTTGCCTGGGCCCCAATCTTTACTATTATGTTTTTTCATTTAGGAAAAGGAAGAATTCAGGTTTTCCTCAGCCTCTGGTGGACCCATGTCTGGGTAAAGGAAAATGAACGAGACAGTGTTCTTTCTTTGAAGGAGCCTGCTGTCTCAGCCCCTTAAATAGTGACTTAAGATGGTAGCAGATGTAGCTCAGCCTGAGGGGAGGGTCTGATGATCTCAAAAGTGTCTTGCAGCAGATGGTTCCTTGGATGAGTCAAGAAGCATGCCTAGTTGAAAAGTGAAGAGTGTGAGGTGGACGGGGTTTGGAGATAAGCCAGGAGAGAAAAGGTATGACACAGGCTTGGTGACAGTGTAGTAATTATGGGAGCCATGAGTTGCATTGTCACTGGAGGAGTATGTGAAAAGCAGGTTATGGTGATGACAAATGCTGTCCAAGAAAGGAGAGGCTGGTTGTGGGATGCTGTTTTTGTTATCTTAGACAAGTTCAGACTCCACCTGTACAAGTGACCTGCTTATGGTGGCTCTGACTGCCAAAACACTGGTTTGATTTGATATCTGTCTGTACATATCAGAAGTTTAATTGTGTGGTGCTGAATATTGAACCCAGGGCCTCTTGCATGCTAAGCATGCACTACCACTCTGCTACACTTCCATCCTAGGCTCTGTCTTTTAAAGCTTTCACCATGCCTCTGTATGACCACACTGTGGCAACCAGCCTTACAACACATGAACCCTGCAAGGGACACACTCAAATCATTTCCAAACCATGGCAGTGTCCATAGATGTATTAGTATGTGCAGGGTATTTTAATGTATGTATGACATGATTTGCTTAACTAATTTTTCATTGATATTTAGGTAGATTCTAATTTTATAAATGATTAGAAACATTTCATTGAAAGAAAATCTTCCTGCTATGCACATATTTGTATATATATCCTCTCTTAAAATGTTTTTGTTATGAAAAGTTTCAAGCATATGCAAATGTAGAATACGTGTGTTTGTTTGCTTGTTTGCAGTGCTTGGGATTGAACCCAAGGTCATATACATGCTAAACAAATTCTCTATGACTGAACTACTTGCCCAGTTCGAACCCCGTTCTTTTAATACACATTTCCATATTTTTTTTTTCTCTTCTAGGGTATTTGAAAGCAAAAACCAGTCTTTATATAATTTTATCTATTTATCCTTTAATATTTTAAGGTAAGAACTTAAAACATAACCATACATATAAACAGATTTAACATTAATTCCTAATATTATCTACTACTATGCAAATCAGGATTCATATAAAGTCTAAATGTTGTATTGGTTGATACATTTAAGTTTTTCTAATTTAAAAACTTCCTCCCTATTATTTCTCATATGGTACATTTGTTGAAGAAACCAAATCATTTTCCCAGTAGACTTTTCCACTGTCTGAACTTGGCTGAAAGCCTCCCACTGTGTGCAGTCCTAACATGTCTCCCACACCCTCTATGGCTGATAAATGGAGATCTAGAGGCTTGATTCATTAAGATTGATTAGTATGTTCAGTTGTGGTTGTATACATCTCTTCCTGCATTTATTACTTCTTTAGGTTTTTAGGATGACAGTTTTTATTTTGAGTTAATTGTAGTTTCATATGTAAGAGATAATACAAAGAAATTCCTTATACATTCTTCACATTTTCTCCAATGGTAACATCTTGGCTGGAGTATGGTTTACTTTTACATGCACTGTGTGTGTATGTATGTGTGTGTGTCTATATGCATTTAGTTCTGTGCATTTTATTGCCTGTGTAGACTAGTGTAGGTAACCTCACAATGAAGAACCAGCACATTTCCATCACAAGGATTTTTCATGCTACTCTTTATAGCCACAGCCACCTCTTTTCCTCTCGTTGCTTAATCCCAGAGATACTAATCTTTCTTAATTTCTGTAATTTTGCTATTACTGTAAAGAAAAATGCAGGAAATTATATAGTACCTCCTTCTGAGATTTTTTTCATTCACTTTAATTTTGAGAACCATCAGACAGCTACATGTACCAATAGTTTATTCCTTTTTATTAGTATTTCTGACCATTAGAGAATATTCATTTGTTTCAGTTTTGGAGAATTATATTTGGATGTGCTATAAGTATTCATATACAGGTTTTGTGTCAACCTAAGTTTTCATTTTGTGGCATAAATGTGCAAGAATAGAATTGCTGGGTTATATGATAAATATGGTTAGTTTTGTGCAAAGCTACTATATTCTTTTTCTGAATGGCTGTGCCATTTTGTATTCACTCTACCAATGAGTGAGATATCTAATTTCACCAACATTTCAGTTGTGTTTTTAGTCCTTCTGAGGTATTGGCAAATAATAATTTAAAAATTCTATTGTTCTTTCTAATTTTAAAGGTGTAATTCTTTTTTTTTTTTTTTATTGAACTGGGGTCCTTTCACTTGCAAGGCAGGCCACTGAACTGCTGAGCTAAGTCCCCGGCTCCAAGGTATAATTCTTTTATAAAGAACTTTTCCTTAAGAGGTATTTCATAACCATGAACTGTAGACTCTTCAAGAAAGGAAGGAAAAATATTCGCTTTTCTTTTTTCTTCCTATGCCTACCATAAACTAATTTTCAGAAAAAAGCAAATCTGCCCTGATAGCCTTCTAGTGACTAATTAGCTTTTAAAAAAATTTTTATCATTTTGAACTTATACATTTAAAATATGTTTGATGTGAGCCATGCCCTCCCCTGTCTGCACTCCACCAGCCCCAGTGAGGAAGGTGAGATTTGGGAAGGTCACTTTGAGATCTGCTCTCCCTCTGGCCTGCTTGGGCCCATTCGGCGGGACTGGGTAGCTGTGCCCTCCCCTGCGTGTGCTGCCTCCAGCTCCAGCAAGGAGGGTAGCTACGTGGGTGCCCCTGAACCCCCACCCCCCAGCTCTCAGACCTCCTGATTGTGCCAGTCCTTGAACAAATTCTGCAGAGGCATAGTTGGTCATAAAGGGTATTTTTCTGAGCTCCCAACTTTGAACATCTTTAAAGAAAGGGCATGGGAAACCTGTAGTAGAACTGTGTGGAGTTCAACCCTGCAGAAGGTTGGGGAACTCAATCTGGGTCTTGCAGCCTGAGGTCAGACTGAGTTGCAGGGATCTGCCATTGGCTAGCTGAGATCAGGGGACTTAGTTCTGCACATGGCTGTGCACGTTGTATATTATGACAGAAGAGATATAGTCTGAAAGAGGCCCTTCAAATTCATTTTCTTTCTTTTCCTCATTCCACTCTGCAAATTCTTTCTTTTTTCTGTCCTCTTTCTCCAACTCATTCTCTTGTTCCACCATATTATCTCTCATCTCCCTTTCTGTTTCTGCTGCTGCCCTAACTCAGACTTCTTCTATCATTTTTTATTTTTTTCTTTATGTTCTTTTCTTCTGTCATTTTACCTCTCTCATGGGTCAGTAGTTTCAAGGGAAAGTGAGCCCCTATTGTTGTTAAGGGGATATATTCTTGTCCTTATTCTTGCACTCTGTCTATCCCTTTTGAATTTAATAGTTTCCTAAAGATTGTATGGTCATTCTGTGTCCTCTGGCTTCACTTGAAACCTTCTCCAATTCTTTCATTTATCTACTCCTCTCATCCTAACTCTGTCTAAGCCCCCATCCTAAATGGTAAAGATGCTATATTGAAAAGTGTATTCACTGCAAACATATTTTGGGCTGCTTCTTGATTTTAGTTTAATTCACATGGTTTAAACGTGATAGATTAATGATTACCACAAGTGGTCAGTTTGCAAGTTGTGCTTGATCATATTGTGTTGTATCAATTGAGATAAAGGATTGTGATTGATTTAATGAGTTGTTTTCTCTGATATTATGAAAATGAGAATGTCTATGAGTCATTAGAGACTCAAAAGCTAAAGTGCAACTATATCAGGAAGATTTAAGTAATAACCCAGAAATTAAACCAAGGAAACCCAACAACAAAAATAAAAATGAGAAGACACTAAAGCAAGACACAAAGACAGACTTCCATTTCACCAATGGCAAATAGCAGGGTAAATGAGGATGAAAAGGCTGATGGTGAACCAGCAGGACACCCTGAACCCACAACACAGGAAGTAACAAAACAGATCAATCAGGCTCTAGAAAAATTCAAAACAGAAATAATTTCCCAGATAACCATAGAGATAGTGAGCAAAATGGAAGTCATGATTCGAGACTCTAGAACAGAAACTGAGAAAAAAAATAGATGAGCTCAGGACCATGTTAGAAGCCATGAAGGTCCCGCATAAGAACGAAATGGAAACAATGAATGCCCAACAGAGGAAAGAAATGGAATCCATAAAACAGATTCAACAGATATCCAGGAGATTAGAAACTCTATTGAAAGTATATGCAACAGAATAAGAGAATGTGAAGATAGAATCTCAGCTGTAGAAGATAGGATTGCAGTCAGTGACTGTGAAAAGAGAGGTCTCTTAAAAACAGTAAGGGATCATGAGAAATCTATCCAACAACTCCTAGATGATGCAAAGAAGAATAACATAAGACTGATAGGAATCCATGAAGTAGCAGGAGAAAATACAAATGACTTAAAAAAGCTGTTCACAGAATTAATGACAGAAAACTCCCCAAACAGAAGGGAAGAATTAGACATACAGATAATTGAGGCGTATAGGACTCCAACTAGCCACGATAAAAAAAAAAATCTACACCTAGACATATAATAATGAAGATCCCAGAAACCCAACAGAAGAACAAAATACTACAAGCAGTAAGAGAAAAGAAACAAATCACATGCAAAGGAAAACCCATCAGAATCACAGCAGACTTTTCAACACAAACCCTCAGGTCAAGGAGAGCCTGGAGTGAGGTTTTTCAAGTCCTAAAAGAAAACAACCTCCAACCTAGACTGATGTATCCTGCAAAAAACTCTCTTTCAAAATGGATGGGTAAATAAGATACTTCAATGACAAAGAACACCTGAGAAACTTCATGAACACCAAACCAGCACTACAAGGAATTCTAAACAATATCCTAGAAAAAGACAGTGAAGGTCACACAACGTCATTAGGCCCAACAGAGCAAATCAAATAGGCAAGACAAGAAACTAAAAGGAGAGGGGGGGAAAGTAAAAAGAGCCAACAAAAGGACAATAACATGACAATAATAAGTCAGTACATATCAGTTATAAACATCAATATCAGTGGCCTTAATTCACCAATCAAGAGAAATAGACTGGCAGAATGGATTAAGAAGCAACACCCAACAATATGTTGTATTCAAGAAACACACCTAGTGCAAAAATAAGCCCATAGACTGAAAATGAAAGGATGGAAAACAATTCTCCATGTCACAGGAGCCCAGAGAAAAGCAGGGGTAGCAATCTTATTCACAGACAAAGTAAATTTCAAACCAAAACTGATTAAGAGAGACAAAGAAGACCACTACATCCTTGTAACGGGAATAATTCAAGAGGAAGAGATGACAGTCATAAACATGCACCAAATACTAATGCCCCCAACTATATAAAAGAAATATTAAGAAACATGAAAAACCAAATAAGCACTAATACAATTGTAGTTGGTGATCTGAATACCCCACTATCACAAATAGATCATCTAGGCAGAAAATCAACAATGAAATACTAGAACTCAACCAAGCTTTTGAACTCATGGACTTAATAGATGTCTATAGAGTGTTCCACCCCACAAAATCAGAATATACATTCTTTTCGGGTGCACATGGGTCATTCTCCAAGATAGACCACATACCAGCTCACAGAAATGGCCTGAATAGATGCAAAAGAATCAAAGGTTTTCCATGTATATTACAGATCGTAGTGCAATAAAGCTGGAGATCAATAGCATAAGAAACCGTAGGAACTTCACAAACATGAAAATTGAACAACACTTTCGTGAACAATCAGTGGATCACAGAGGAAATTAAAGAAGAAACTAGACAGTTTTTCCAAATAAATGAAAATGCCAATATAACATGCAGGAATCTATGGGACACAATGAAAGCAGTTCTTCGTGGAAAATTCATAGCACTGAATGCCCACACTAGGAAAACAGAGTGAGCTCAAATAAACAACCTAATGATGAAACTTAGACTCCTAGAAAAACAAGATCAAGAAAAACCCAAAGCTCAAACAAGAGAGGAGGTTATAAAAATTAGAGCAGAAATCAATGCAATGGAAACTAACAAAATGATACAAAAGATAAATGAATCAAAGAGTTGGTTTTTTGAAAGAATAAATAAAATCGATAAACCCTTAGCTAACCTCATCAAAAAAAGGAAAGAAAAGGCTCAGATCCATGCAATCTGGAATGAAAAAGGCAAAGTCACAACAGATCCAACAGAAATCCAGAGGATCATTAATACCTACTTGGAGAACCTGTACTCTAATAAAATAGAAAACACAGAAGAAATGGACAGATTTTTAGGTACTTATGAATCACCAAAGTTGAACAAAGAAGATAAAAACATTTTAAATACCCTAATCATAATCAGTGAAATTGAGAATGTAATTAAAAATTTACCAACAAAGAAAAAGCTCAGGTCCTGATGGATTCACTGCTGAATTTAACAAGACATTTAGAGAACTACTACTGCCTTTTCTGTTCAAATTTTTCAATGAAATTAAAAGGGAAGCAATACTTCCAAATTCATTCCTGGAAGCAAGTATCACTTTGATTCCCTAACCAGGGAAAGACTCAACTAAAAAAGAGAACTACAGGCCAATCTCCTTAATGAATATAGATGCAAAAATCCTTAATAAGATACTAGAAACAGTATACAGAGGATCATCAAGAAGATCATACATCCTGACCAAGTAGGATTTATTCCAGGGATGCAAGGATGGTTCAACATATGTAAGTCAATAAATGTAATACACTATATTAACAGAGTCAAGGACAAAAACCATATGATCCTCTCGATAGATGCAGAAAAAGTATTTGACAAAATTCAACACCCGTTCATGATAAAAACCCTGCGAAAAATTGGAATAGATGGTCTATATCTCAACTTAAAACTATTTATAAAAAACCAACAGCCAACATCATATTAAATGGCCAAAAACTGAAAACTTTCACGTTAAAATCAGGAACAAGACAAGGATGCCCACTATCACCGCTACTATTCAATATAGTTCTGGAAACATTAGCCATAGCAATTAGACATGAGAAAGAAATTAAAGCAATAAAGATAGGGAAGGAAGAAGTTAGACTGTCATATTTGCTGATGATATGATACACTACATTGAAGACCCAAAAATCTCCATCAAAAGACTTCTAGACTTAATTGACACTTTTAGCAGAGTAGCTGGATATAAGGTCAACACTCAGTGGCCTTCTTGTACACAAATAACAGAGTCACTGTGAGAGAAATTAGGGAAATAATTCCTTTCACAATAGCATCCAAAAAAATGAAGTATCTAGGAATCAACCTAACAAAAGAAGCAAAAGACCTCTACACTGAAAACTACAGCACTCTGAAAAAAGAGATCAAAGAGGATATAAGAAAATGGAAAGATATGCCCCTGCTCCTGGGTAGGAAGAATCAACATAGTGAAAATGGCCATACTACCAAAACTGCTATACAGATTCAATGTAATGCTAATTGAAATTCAAACAGTATATTTCGCAGAACTAGAAAAAAAATCTAAAAATTCATTTGGAGCCATAAAAGACCTAGAATAGCAAAAGCCATCCTAGGCGACAGAGACATGGTAGCGGGTGTAACAATTCCCAATTTGAAACTATAGTACAAAGCCACTGTGATAAAAACAGCATGGTACTGGCAAAGAAACATACCTGAGGATCAGTGGAACAGATTGGAAGACACAAAAACAACTCCAGATGCACTCAGCTACCTCATCTTTGACAAAGGAGCTGCCAGTCCCCACTGGAGGAATGATAGCCTCTTTAATAAATGGTGTTGGAATAACTGGATCTCAACCTGCCAAAGATTAAAATTAGACCCTTATCTCTCACCATGCACTAAATTAAAATCCAAGTGGATTAAAGACCTAAACATAAAAACAAAAACACTAAACTTGCTGGAAGATAAGTTAGGCAGAACTCTTGAAGACATTGGCATGGGAAAAGATTTTATGAACAAATCCTCAGTAGCATGGGAAGTAGCAGAAAGAATCAACAACTGGGATCTCATCTTATTAAAAAGCTTCTGTACTGCAAAAGAAACCATCATCAGAACTAAGAGACAACGTACAATGTTGGAAAAATTTTACCAGCTGCTCCTCAGACAAAGGACTATTATCTAGAATATATAAAGAACTCAAAACAATCAGCCCCCCCAAATATAAAGACCCAATTCAAAAATGGGCATCTGAAATGAACAGACATTTCTCAGACAAAGAAGTAAAAAAAGCAAGTAAATACATGAAAAAATGTTCCATATCACTGGTCATTCGAGAGATGCAGATGAAAACAACACTGAGATTCCACCTCACCCCACAAAGAATGGCTGCTATCAGGAAATCACACAATAACAAATGTTGGCAGGGTTGTGGGGAGAAGAGAACCCTTCTCCATTGTTGGTGGGAGTGCAGACTGGTCCAACCACTATGGAAATCAATATGGAGATACCTCAAAGAGCTGGGACTAGCAGTTCCATTTGACTCAGCCATCCCTCTGCTGGGTATCTTTCCAAAAGAGTTAAAAGAATCATATCACAGAGATATATGTGCACCTATGTTTATAGCGGCACAGTTTGTAATAGCTAAAACTTGGAAACAGCCCATTTGTCCATCAGTTGGAAACCAGATAAAGAAGATGTGATTTTTCTATAAAATGTAATACTAAATAATAGGTATCCCATATACCTAACATCTTGCTTAAGGGACCGAATGTCACCAATATAACTGAAGCTCCTGAGTACCCCTCTCCGATTGCATACTTCTTCCTCTGCCTCAATTAATTATCTGCTTTTGAATATAACATATTTTGAGCTTTGTAGAAATGATAGTGTACTCTGAAACTTGCTTTTTCTCACTCAGCATATTTTTGAGATATGTCCATGTTGATACATGTCGTTCTAGTCTTTTCATTTTTTACTACTTAAAATGTTTTCTTATATGAATGTGCTGTCATTTGTTTAGTCTTCTTTTTGCAGTTAACAAACCATGCTGCTCTTCTTTTACAGTTCTCCTGAGTGTATATTTCAGATATTCCATAAGACGCCTGCCTGTGAATGCAATTGCTGGATTAAAAGGTATGCATATTTTCAGCTTTGCTAAATGTCACTTAATTGTCATCAAGAGTGTTAGACATTGTGATGCCCACCTTCACTGATTAGATTCTCTTATTGTTCTGTAGTCTTGCGAACAGTAGGTATTGTCAGACCTCATTGTGTTATTTTATGAGTAGTAAATCTCATTGTTATTTTGAATCACAATTAATAGTAAGGTTGAACTTCTTATATTTATTAATATTTCAGATTTTTTTTTTCCTAATACTGTCAGCCTTTCTTATGCATGGGTTGGTTCTGTGTCTATGGATTCAACCAATTGCAGATCAGGAATATTGGGGAAAAAAATCACATCTGTATAAAAGCCATAGACTTTTTAATCATGTCATTATTCCCTAAATGATACAATATAACAACTAGTGTTTACATTGTACTGGACATTATAAATAGTCTAGAGAGGATGTGATGTATACAGTAGGACATTAGGTTATATGCAAATACTGTGCCATTTTATATAAAGAAATTCTGCATCTTTAAATTTTAGTAGCCATAATCACTCCTTGTGTATAATGGTTGATAGTGAGATGCAAAGTTGAAAGTAGCATGATATAGTTACTATTAGATAGCACTATACAATATTTGTGTCTTTAACACATTGGCGACTATGCAGATTTTCTTAAAAGTTATACTTTTTGATGATTTTTTAATATTATTTTAGGAAACACGAGGTTAAGTTGATCCTTGAGTCCTGGCTGTATTATTTCTCAACCTTGTGACCTTGGACAATTTATGTAATCTCTCTATTTCTTCATCTTTGAAATGGGCATAATCCCTTGTGATTTGATGAGAGAATTAAGTGGGATAACATAAATAGCTGGCATATAGGCCTGGTAGCTAGTTTTAGGAAGAGTTACACATATTCGGCTTCAGTAATGTAAAACATGGGTGATACATGGTAGATATGTAAATCAGTCCTATGCCTCCACCTGCCTCATAATCAAGGACCCACGTTCTATCCCTGGTACCAAACAACAACAACAAGAAAATAAATATACCTTCATTTCAAGGCCAAGCAGGAGCCCCCGTGCCATGGAAAATCCAGAGCTGTCTTATCTGCCATTTATTTGTGTGTGGCTGGCCTGGTATTCCCTGTAAACATGTATATACCAGCCTGTCATTTCCGTTCATCTTCTGTGTCCTATCAGTTTTCTGCAGGCCAGAACATCTGTGACAGTGACAGGTCTCTCTGGGATCATAGTGGTTTCATGGGCATAACCTTGGGACCCTTCTGGATGCCCTGAAATCTAGCTCCTTTTGGGAGCTCCATCATTATCCATAGAGTTCGGGAGGGATTGGCCTTGTGTTTGAGAGCTGATAGTGGGACTTCTGAGTACTCACTTGTTAAGGATTGTGAGTTGATTTCATTTCTTCTTGTATCTTCTGCCACAGGAAATTTCTTCACATGGCTGCTGAAGAAGTGACCATTACAGTTCGCCTCATTCGTTCATTTGAGCACCGCAATTTCAGACCTGTAGTGTATCATGGAGTTAATTTGGACCAAACTGTAAAGGAATTTATAGTATTTCTAAAGCAAGGTATGGTATATTAGGATTGTTTTGTTTTATTAGTGATTTGGAGAAAAATTGGTTATGATATTAATAACCTTTTGAAAAAGCCACACATGATGATGCAGGACTATAAATCACACACAGTGCGCTAGAGGGCAGAAGGTGGAGCATCACAAGTTTGAGCCCAACTTGGATAACTTAGTGACTTAGTGAGAACTGACTCAAAAACAAACAAAAAAGGGCTGGAGATGTAGCTCAGTGTGAAGGCCCTGGGTCCCAACGACCACACACACACACACACACACACACACACACACACACACACACGTACACACATGCTCACACACGCATATACATGCAGTGAAAAAAGTACTTTGAAAGGTATTAATTTGGAATTGAGGCGAAGTGCTAGACTGGCTGCTATTCTGGGCGTATCAGCCTGCCATACTTTCTCAGTGAGTAGCACTTGTGTCTTCACCAGGGATTGTTGCTGTCATACTTGACTTGAAAAATAATTAAAACCTGGTCCAGGGTTTTAGCTCAGTGGTGCCACACCTGCCTAATAAGCACAAGGTCCTAAGTTCATTCCCCAGTGCTGGAAAAAAAAATTAAGACCTAAGTTTATTTTAATTGGTTTGTATCTTCGTAGTTTAACAAAAGAGTATGATATAACCGATTGTGTTATCTAGCTAGGCAGAGAGGGGCCCTGTGGGAGCATGGCAGGAAGGGAGCAGAACCCAGTTTAGCCAGGAAATCCAGAGAGGTGTTGGGTCATCAAGATCACAGAAATGGCAACCGTTCTACCAGTGCTAGTTTATCATTTTGAACTTAGAGTTGGCAAGAAGTTAATCTTTATTGAAATAGGTCCTCAATGAGTTTTTCTCCTCTGTTTTTCATTATTGAAGTGTCCCAATCATTGGCATTTGATAAAACATCCAGCACAGCTTTTGTTAATTTAATTGAAGTGTAATTTATGTGTGGTGCAATGTACATATCTCAGTTTTTGGTTCCATGGGTTGACAAATGTATCACTTTAGTCTGACTTAATTTTTTTTTTACTTCATTATGATTTCAGACTTCCAGAAGCGTTGTAAGAGTAATAACTCTGGATGTTTCTGGGAGAATTCCCCCAGCATTAGCATATGGCTTCTTTGGTTTTGATTTGTCCTCTTTCCTCTTCCCTTTCCTCTCCCTCACTTTCTTCACCACTTCCAGCCTTTTATTTGTTTAGTTTTTCTTTCTCGATCGTTTAGAAGTATATTATTGACACGTTTCCCCTTTACCTCTCAATATTTCAGTGTTCCTAATAATGAGGAATTCACTTTCTCTTACTAATAAAGCATAATGATCAAGCTCAGGAACTTGACATTGTAACAATACTGTTATTTGATGTGGAGATCTCACTGAGGTTTTAATTGTTCCAATTAGGTCTTTATTACAAAAGAAAACCGGAGGTCCTTTGTTGTGTTTAGTTCGTTTGATCTGGTCTACTTCTCTGGCTTTTGTTTTATTTTATCACCTTGCCACATTTACATAGGATAGGCTGTCTTTTAGAACAGCCTCTATTGGGTTTGTCTGATGTTTTCTCATGGTTCAGACTTAGGTTCTGCCTTTTGGCAGGGAAAATAATAAAAGTGATGCTGATATCTTCTCAGTACATCACACCAGCTTCAGGTCCATCGATCAGTGGTGCTAACACATCAGTTGGTTAAAGTACTGTCTGCAAAGTTTCCATATTGCAAGTTTTCATTGTAATTGAAAGGTATCTTGTAGGGAAATAGCCTGAGACTATATGAATCTCCTGTTACATCTCAAACCTTGAGGCACAAGTTTAACATTCTTTGGTGATTCTTGCCAGCATCACTTATGACGATGATGATTGATAAATGGTGACTTTTTACATGTACTAGTTAGCTTTCTACTGTAAGGAAGAACTTTCTACACTCTTTCCCTCTTTGATTTAATGACATTTATATCACAATGGGCTCATGGATTATTTATTTATTTATTTATATTCTCTATTATCATTAGGAACCACGTCAGGCAGGTTCTTGTATCATTTTAATATGTCCCCATCATTCTTTGAGCACTTCTTTCCTTTTGGGTATGACCAAATGACTTTATCTTAATGCATTCTTTCTCTGCTGCAGGTCTGGGATCAGCCATTTCTCTGGGATCTAATTCCATTATTAGAGAATAGTATTGGAAAAAAATCAAGATTTTGGTTTCAGTGCATGAATTATAAATGTGTAAAGCTTGCTTTTTATTAGTATTTATTTGTAGTACTAGAAAGCAAACTAAGGGCCTCTCACATTGGAGGCAAGTGCTCTTCCACTGCACTACAATTCTAGCCTTAGCCAATGTTCTTAAATGTAGTGAAGTCTCAATATTTTTCTCCTGTTTGACTTTGTAAAAAAGTCTTCTTCCTAACCTTTCTAATTCCCCATATAATTTTGAGTAGTTTTGCTATTTTGTATTGTTTGAATGAGGGTTAGGTGTGATTGAAAATTATAATCAATATTTAGATCTACAAAACATTGCAGTAAAAGATGCATTGCCATTAGTCTCCCTCAAAATATCATTTCAAACACGTTTATCCTGTCATTCTTGTCACTTTCTGAAACAATTTTGAAGTCTCTTTTGTTGAAATGGCAAGCTTTCCGTTTGATTGCTATAGCTCATTGCCGCTAGTCTGAGAGGATGGAAACCACATCAGGAGCTGCAGAGACAAAGTAAAGCTTTATTTAACACCGGTGGACCAGTCTGCATTCGCATGTGGGAGACTGGCCTTGTCCAACGCTTGAACAGAGAAGATATAATACTCTTTGGGAGGGGTAGGGTTGCAGACAAGACACATTTGACATGCATTTATTGCTCACAGAATTTGAATATTTGTTAGCAAGCAGGCTCAGCTGTGGTATTGGCTCTGACATTTGTAGGCATGTGAGGCAGGACAGACCCAGACATGTTGAACAAAGAAAATTACACATCACTGATCATTCGAGAGATGCAGATGAAAACAACACTGAGATTCCACCTCACCCCCACAAAGAATGGCTGCTATCAAGAAATCAAACAATAACAAATGTTGGCGGGGTTGTGGGGAGACAGAAACCCTTCTCCATTGTTGGTGGGAGTGCAGACTGGTGCAACCACTATGGAAATCAATATAGAGATACCTCAAAGAGCTGGGACTAGTGGTTCCATTTGACCCAGCCATCCCTCTGCTGAGTATCTTTCCAAAAGAGTTAAAAGAACCATATCACAGTGATATATGCACACCTATGTTTATAGCGGCACAGTTTGTAATAGCTAAAACTTGGAAACAGCCCATTTGTCCATCAGTTGGAAACCAGATAAAGAAGATGTGGTTTTTCTATAAAATGGAATACTACTCAGCCATAAAGAATGAGAAGTTAGATTCATTCATAGGAAAATGGATACATATTGAGGATATACTCATGAGTGAAATAAATAAGTCACACATGTGTAAATACCGAATAATTTCTCTGGTGTGAAAAACTATAATAGTACATAAGATCCTAATGATATAATGGACAATGTGAAATAGGAAGAAAGGGGCTAAATGTATGGGGAAAGTGGGAAGGGTAGGAGAAAGGTAATAAGGGAGAAGAAAAAATATGACAAAATGAAAATAAAGTATAAATGGGGAGGGTAGGAGGGGGTGAAGGGAGGGCAGGGTCAAGGGGAAAAAATGAGACCCAAGACCTGTCATGTAAAGTTATAAGATCCCAATAATGTAACTGTACTGTATATCTAAAATGTACCAACAAACTCATTAAAAAAAAAAAAAAGAAAATTACAAGTAGGGAATTTCCCGTAGTAAGTCCAGCTTGAACTATGGGAGCAAAATTTCCTTGCAAAATTCCTTTTCTTTGTGAGTATCTTTAGCTGGCTTGTAGCGAGCAATTTCCTGAATCCATTCAAAACGTTTACCTCTTGATTATTTTGACATTGGGGAAGAGTTAAAAGTCACTTGATTTTGTATCTAGTGAATAAGGTGGATGAGGACACACTGATATTTTCAGGAATGTGCCTTTCAGTTGGATGGCACTTCGCAGTAGCATTCACTGAGAACTTCATGGAGGCCTGTGTAGGTGTCTGATGAGTGACAAAGCTTTGAATCTCTTTCCTCAAATTGTTTCTGTCTCCTTTGGTCAGATGATTCCTTTTCAGCGCTGCATGTAAACATGTTAGTCACTTAGGAATGTTTGTCTGGAATTAGTAGTGAAGATTGATTTGTCCTAAGCAATTGATTTGCCCACGGGGGATTTAGCTCAGTGGCACCGTGCCTGCCTCTCAAGTTCAAGGTCCTGAGCTTGATCTCTGGTACGAAAAAAAGAAAGAAAAAGGCCACAGTTGATTTGCCCGAATCTCTCCACCACCTTTGAAGTTGAAGACACCAAGATAAGAACTCAAATATTGTCAACATTTACACAAGCATCACAACCACCATGTTTCACAGCGTCATATTCCTAACCGTGGGAGAGGCACCTAGATGGCTCCAGCCATCAGTCTTTTCCTGTCCTAAGACCACCTCTGTTCCTCTGCCTAAGGACAGAAGGAGCTTGAAACTTAATCTAGTTAAAGTGATTTTTTTAGGGTGCTGGCCTGCCATCATCTTGTTTTGCTAGCATCCTGAATAAATCTTTTTCTTTGCTCCATCTTCAATTCCTTGGACTCCTTTTTGAGCAGTGAGTAAACAGTTTGGGTTCTGTAGCAAGTCTACTTTGCAGTGATTATTTAAAGGATTTCATGAAAAGACAGAATTATTCATAAAGGAACTACTGGCTTACATATAGTGCATATATTTTTATTGCCATATTTCTTAATTGTCAGAGGAAAACTGACAGTACTAAAAGGTAATGTAGGGGTATAAACAATATTTTTCTAAACTCTCACAGTTTCTCATTGTAAGGAAACCCAGTGACAAAAAACAGATTAACAAGAGAAAAACAGGCAGTTTATTAACAGTTCCATGTATGTATGGGAGACACCTTAGGGTTAATTCTCAAAAAGAAGGCTTTGAATTGCAGCTTATATAGCATCTTCATCGGGAGTGGTATATTCTTAGAGAAGGAATTTGAGTCCTTAGAAGTGGCAACTAGTGGGCAGGGAACAGATAAAGTTAGTGAAAGTCTTTAGTGTAAATCCATCTGGTTCCATCTGTGGGTGGGAAGGGGTTAAAGTTGTCTTCAGTGGTCAGCTTTTGTTCCCTTTGGTAGAGGGGAGAAGGGGCATAAACTGGGGGTAAACTGTGCTTTTAGGCAAAGGGAGGGCGGAATGAGACCTTTTCTGTGTTTTGTCTCAAAATGCTCCTCATAAAAAAGATGTAGTATGTTCTGTTCTCCCACAGTGTCCATTACAGAATGTTCTACTTTTGAGAGGTTACCACCCAAAGCATATGCAGGTTTTGAATTAAAAACAAATTCCTACATTAAAAAATTTTGTGTGTGTGTGTGTAGATAAGGGCCACAGAATTTCTTGGTGTTGATACAGTGAGTACTATGATGTTCTTGGTATAGGAAGAACAGGTTCCTCTTGAAGTCCTTGAGGAAAAAAAAATATAAGTTTTAAGCTGCTGTGGAGGCAGGGGAAGCTTCAGTCTTTCCGGGGTTGCTATGTTCTTTTATCTCTAGTACCACAGAATACCTTCCCAGCCAGCAGCAGTGGGAACCCATCATAGCCAGATGCCGAGGCTGCTCAGGTTGTTCACCTGTTACATAAATCGCACAGGCGTGTTTCACTTGTACAGGAGGGGAAGTGTGCTCTGCTGACTGTAAAAGGTGAATTTTGGGGATAGAGACTTTTTGAGTTGCAAGTTCTGTGACCATCTGATTGTGTCATCTGATTGGAGGTTCTGTGGAATTCTGAAACCTTGATGGGCTGTGGGTTTGCATTTTATAAATTGTGTGTGCATAACACAGATCGAATAGTTTGATGTAAGGAATCTTTTTAAACACTACTAATGATCAGTAACTATATTAGCTAACCTATATTAGTAACCAATATTATTACTTTATTATATCAATATACTATACATATTAGAAACCTATATTAACAAATATAGGTATTATATGAAGAATTTTACATAGGTAAAATCTTCACAGTTTCCCTATAGAGTAGGAGTTATCACTATCCATTCTACAGGTGAACAAACTAACAAGCAGAGAAATTAAATTTGTCAGAGGTTAAATGGCTAATAAAAAGTATAGCTGCAAATCAACCCAGGCAGTTTAACTAGGAGATATGCACTCTTTGTGTATGTATGTATTTTAATCTGAAAAAATATTCTGAATCTAGCAGAGTGAAGTGAAATGTCAGCATTATTTCCCTTTATTTTATTATTGGCATATGTTTGCAATACAGGATATTTACATTCATCTTGGGGAGTTGGTACATATATGTAACATATCTTGATTATTTTCATTCTCTTTCCACTCTTCCCCTCTCTATTCCCCGAGAATCTTTCCTCTATTCCAAAAGGTGTGCCTTGATTTTACTCTTTATTTATACTTGGGTTTCTCATATAAGAGAAATCATGCGATACTTGGTTCTGTATGTGACTTATTTTAGCATTGTGGTATCAAGATTCATCCATTCTCCTACAAATGACAGGAATTCACTATTTTTTATGGGTGAAGAAAATTCCATTTTCTTTATTCATTAGTCTGTTGATGGGTGTCTTTACAAATAATGTAAAACATAGCATGTTGATAGGTCTCAAAAACCATAAAATACTCGTTTTTTAACTCAGTGATCTAACTTCCAGGAATTTTCCGTAAAGATGTAGAAGAATACCCTTATATGTAAAGCTCATAAGCCTAATGTTAATAATTTATTGATATTACCAAGAAGATGGAAAGTAAATAAAATAAATACTCTTAAGTACTATACCAAATTGCCTGTTTATTCTTCTCTTGTTCCTCTTGCATATAAGGAGGATCTCTGAAATAAGTGGATTCACTCAGTGTCAAAGGAGTGTTTGAATTTTGTTCATCTTGCTCTAGCATGTTGAATGCTGAAAATTAGAAGGCTGGTTTGAGATTGTGCTATAGTGAATTTTGTCTAAAACAGAACTGTTCAAAGTAATGAGTGATCTTTTGGGGTTATTTTAATGCCTTTATGAAGGTGTTTCTGTGTTGTTCTTAAAATAGTTACTTTTTGCAGCCTATGGCTGAATCTAGTCACCTGCCATAGTATTTTCCATAACCCAGAAACTTTGGTTAAATTTGATTCACTCTTTATTGGGAATCTTAGTGCTAGAGTATCATGCATATAAATGTATGTATTTATAAATACATCAAAGGATATATTTATAAGTATCATAAATAAACCTAAGGCTGACAAATAAGGAATGGATGGTAGTCAGATATTTTGATTACTGAGGTCCTATGTATTACCTTGTACAGGTAACTACTTTTCTAGATTCAGAATATTATACAAATTATCTAGATAATTTTAGACATTTTAATTATTCCTTGATTTGGAAGAATTTCATAAAACTTTGAATCTTATTTCTGAGTTTAAAATTATATAACCCATGGAAAAGAAAAGAGCTATAGAGGTTTTTCCTAGCCTTCCCTTTCAGAGTTCCTTCTTCATAGCCTCTTATTTTTGTATATTATAATATAGAGCAGTTTGTTTTATCGGGGAAAATGAGAATTTGAACTTTTCTAATATTTTATTTTATCTTTATATATTTCTTCATATTCAGTGTTTCTCCCTTATTGTCCTTATTAACATTGTACATTTGTATGCTACCTTCATTATAATTAATGAGCCAGTATTGTGAATTATCATTAACTAAAGTCCATTCCATGGTTTATTCAGATTTTACTAGTTTTTACCTAATGCCCTTTTTCTCTTCCAGTATCCCACCTAGGACCCCACATTACATTTGGTTGTTATACCTAAATAGGCTCCTCTTGGCTATGACAGTTGCTTAGTCTTTTCTTCTTTTCTTTTCTATTTTATTTTCTTCTTTTCTTTTCTTTGACAGTTTTGAGGAATACTGGTCAGGTATATTATAGGATGCCCCTTACTGTCATTGGTCTGATGTTTTTCTCATGATTAGGATGGGGTTATGGGATTTTGAGAGGAAGATCAGGAAGATATAATGTCACTTTAATCACATCACATGGAATCAAGAGTTCATACTTCCTGCTTGATTCATGGCAGTTGATGCTGACTTTGATTGGCTTGGCTAGAGCAGTGTTAGGTCATCTCACTGTAAAGTTACCCCCCACCCATATTTTCTCTTTTAGGAGTGAGTCATGTGCATAGTCCACAGTTAAAAAATGGGGAGTTATGCTCCCTTTACGGATGAAATCTATATTATTATATAGAACGCTTCTGCATGGAAGATTTTATCTATCATTTTATTAGTTTGCTCAAATTGTTCTAGCTTTCTGCATTGAGAAGTCTTTCATGTGGCCCCTTTGGCATATGTGTGTGTGTGTGTGTGTGTGTGTGTGTGTGTGTACACGCTCCAGGCTGCACCAGGCTCAGCTTGTATATTTCCTGTTCCTGTCCTAGACACCTTGGACTAACCAATAACCTCCTAGGGGCTTCAGTGGTCCCAACTACTAGTTGAAAGAATTAAATTATATTTATTCATTTGTGTATAGTTTTGAGTGCATACCATGTACCAGATACTATTTTATGTACTGACACCATGATGAAGAAAACAGGCTATGGTCTATGCCTTCGTGGGAACAGTCTGTGTTAATCTCTTCTGTCCTAGGTGTTTTTAGCAGACAGCCCATAATATTTTCACCTTAAGGAACCTATCAGTTAGTTGAAAATATAGAGACAACAATAGGCAAACAGACAAAACTATACCTGTAAAATTGTCATGAAGGTGGGAGTGTCAGAGGAGACCCCTTCTACAAGCTGGTTGGTCAGTGAAGCTTCTTTGTGGATGTGACAGTGGAGCTGAGATCTGAGAGGGCAAAGAGAAGAGGTGGCCCTATGAGTCTCGGGCATGGCCTCTTCTCTCTAAAGTCTCTAAATGACTCATGGAACCATCTGTTCCTCCCCTCACCCCCTTCCTCTAGCGTTTTCATTGTCTAATCTGGAAGCGTCAATGGCAATACATTAAATGGATTTAATTCTCCTTTTGGATGTTTAAAGAGTACTTCTTTTCTTTGGCCTGTGATTCATAAGCAAGTGAGAAATAAGATGGAGAAAATGAAGTGTTTGTGCTCTGGGAAGCCCTAACCAGAGGTTTAGGTTGGTGTGTAGCTGGCATCTCCAGAGAGGTTTCCTTGGCCTATGATATTTTTAACATTAGGGATTTTCACCTAAGCCCCTAAACTTTTCTGTTGAAATATTTAGGTGCAGTTACCTAGGGTCCACATGCCTGCAACACCATGATCAATGAGAATCATGGGATGACAAGTGCCCCCTATAAGGCACATATTCTCAGATCTCACAGCTCCCCCTTGCTGACCAGCTTTCCTTATCTGTCATCAGAGCAGAATTACCTCTGTATTGGAAAAGTGTGTCAGCTGGAGAAGACAAGGATCGCTAAAACGTAATAACAACACAGAGTGGACACAAAGCATGTGATCTGTGAATGTATTGCTTAAGGTCGCCATCATACAAGAAATGCTTGAGTCTAGAAACCTCTGGAGGTGTAGATATCAGTGGGAGGCAGCTGCCTCTCGTCGTGACTGTGGCCTGCGATTCAAAATAACTTCCTTCAGCTGGGGATTTAGCTCATTGTTCTGCTGCCTGCCTCACAAGCGCAAGGTCCAGAGTTTGATCTCCAGTACCCAAAAAAACCCCCAAAAAACAAAAAAACAAAAACCCAAAACAAAACAAAACAAAAAAACACACAAAGAGTTAAAATAACTTGCTTCCCAAATAAAGTTGTCTTCCTTTCTCAGTACTGTGTCTGTAACTTAATTGGATGGCAGTGGTGGAATGGCTAGGTCAAGTAGTATATGTACATGTAATTTTGATATGTTACTTAATTGGCCTGTGTTGTGGGGAGCAGGTGGAATTGGTTCTGCTAACGTTTTATCCATCTGACTCCATGTGCATGTTTGCCTGAAAGTCATTTCAGAAAGTTATTGCTTTGTATTTAACTATCTTCTTCATATGGATATCCACTTTTTCCTAGTATTATTTAGGAAGAGACAGTGCTTTCCCCAGGGTATGTTTTTGCTAATTATTAAAATTCAGTTGGTTGTGTATGAATTTATTTCTATGCTTTTTTATTTTGTTCCATTGGTGTAGGCTTCTGTTTTTATGCCAGTACTACACTATTTAAATTACTGTACCTTTGTGCTTTGTTTCGAAGTCAGTGAGTGTGATGCCTTCAGCTTTATTCTTTTTTGTTAAAATTTCTTTGGCTATTATCTCTGCTAAATTCCTTAAGTGGAGTGGCTAGGTCAAGGAGCATTTGAACATGTAATTTTGATATATGTTATTAAATTTCCTCAACAGGGGTTGTATGGTCAATTGTTGCGCATTAAAATTACTACTAGTACTGGGAATATGTTTTACAAAGATTATTGTTTTCATTGCTGAGTTAGAGGATTTTTTTTGTAGGTTATCCAAATTTTAATAAGAGTAATAACATTATTCTAGATCTTTGGTTCCTATTAACGGCTGAAAACTCCCGAAGAGTTTTCAGATTGAAATTTAACACACATAAAACTATATGGTAAATGAATAATGTCTCTCACATGTAACTCACAAATTTCAAGTGTAGGTAATTACTGTTGTATTTAATAAACTACTAGATCTTTGAATAGTGTTACTGAATTCTTAGTTCAATTAATAAAAGCTCAGCATCTTATTGGTAGGCCCATTGATTTTGATGATTCTTAGATTTTTTTTTCTTCCATTAAGTTTATTGGTACATTTTAGGTATACAGTGCGGTTACAATCATCATTGGGAAGTTGTACCTTTACATAATGTGTCTTCATAATTATTTTTTCCCTGTTCCCCTGCCTTCCCTTCAATCCCTGCACCCCTCCCTCTTTACAAAGACTGTTTCCATTCTTTCCTTTTCTCATACTTTTTCCATTCCCCTATCCCTCTCAGTTCCCTTACCCATTTAGACCTTTTTGTCCTATTTCACATTATCAATTATTCATTTTGATCCTTATTTACACTTTCAGTTTCTCACACCAGAGAAATTATTCGGCATATACACATGTGTCCTATTTATTTCACTTAAGAGCACAGCCTCAATGTGCATCCACTTAGCTATGAATGTCTCTCGTTTCTCATTCTTTCTGGCTGAGTACATGATCCTTAGATTTTGATGCAATGTTGTCTTCATTTTGCATTTTATCAGGTTTTTTTAAAATCTAACTAGTCTGTAGGTGTAGAAGAATAGAAACAAAACACTAATTCATTTTATTTGAATATTTTGGAATAAAAATAGTATTTCTCTTGTAGATGTACCTTTGAGGACCAGTCTGCCACCACCATTCAGAAATTATAAGTATGGTAAATAATTTTTCTTATTCTTTTAAGATGAATATTAATATAATTTTGCATTACATTTTTTGTTGACATGAATTCAAATTGTTTTAAAAAGTTAATTTGTCCTTAAGTAAAATCCAGTTTAGAAGTTTATTTAGGAATATAAAGATACTACTACATTATTAAAATAAACTTGTATAGGGAAATGGCATGTTTGTGAAGAAGTACATGTTTGGGAAAATTGGATCAAAAATTGGTATTTTTTACAGGTAACCAAAGAAGGAAAAATATCAAGGAAAAAATTAAAAGATAAAGATTTAGCATTTTAAAGGACAATAGCTTGAGTATGATATGGAGTAGTTTTATACATCATAATTGGCAATTTAAAAATATAGTAATAAAGCCCAAGGCTGAGTGTTATTATTCAGTAACCCTCATCATAGTGATACCCAGCTAACTTGAATTTGGGACTTGACTTGAAAGTTAGGATGTACTTAATAAATATTTCTGTTAATTGGAGTGGACATTTTAAAGTATACATTTTCTATTACCTTAGATAATTTTTCAGAGTAGCTTTTCAATCTGTTCCTATTCAGTAGGGCAACTTGTGACCTACAGTCCTTTGAAATCACAGTCTTCTCCGTGTGTCTGCATTTTAATATCCACAGACTAATTGTGAGGTCATAAAGGGTAGTCAAGCAGAAGTTGAAGGCATTGAACAGAAAGTACTTTGATTTATCAGACCTAAAGAATTTACATACTCATTATTGAATAAGAGAAAGGAATAAAAAGCACAATTAAGGTAAATATGAAACTTCTCAATTGTGGCTTTCATGCCTTCTGAAGTGTAATACTTGAATTACATCTTTGAAGTTGAATCAACCTACAGATGCTGTTCCAAATTAGAATAGTTACATATGGTTTCCCTTTTGCATGTTGTGTCTATATGCAAACTTGTGTTCCACGAAGTTACTTTAGAAGATGGATTTTAAAATAATGAAAGCATCAGAATACCTGAATTGCTGAGCATCATTGTGGTTGATAATGTACCTTTTATATTATTCCATCTCATTAATGTCTTTTCTCCTAGTATTTCTGTACATTCAGATCAATTGGCAGAGAAGATGAATACATTTGTTAGGGAAGAAATTATAGAACCACTAGAGTTTTGATAGACTTGAAGTGGCTCTTTGTCTCCTTTGGGCTCTTAAACAGCCTGCTGCTTTGTGTTGAACAGGAAAGGATGGAGTATTATTTTTACACCTGTCATTGTCACCCAGGACCACCTCAGGCCTTTGGGAACCAAACACTGTAGTGCTGTAGGGAACTGGAAAGGGTGCAGAGTCAGATTACAGTTTTGCTAGTTACTGTCTCCATGCCCTTGGGCAAAGGGCCCACTCTCTGGGCCACCCTGTGTCTGAGATTTCTCAGAGCCCCTCCTCCCATTTAATTGGCATCTAAAGCTATTATTGATCTGCCACTCAATGCTATTTATTTTTAAATCCTTATTGCCTAGACCTTGTGTGTATAGGTGTAAATTAATGTTGATTGATGTACATTGTATGGCTTCTGATCTCTGCCTCACAGGGCCATATGAAATTAAACAGTTGCATGTGCCAGCATGCTAAATGTCCTGTAAACGTAAGATACTATGTTTATATGGTTCTTTTTCTCAAGGAATTTGCATTAAGAAAGTAGTACCCACAGATGTTGTTTTCAGTAGTAATGAATATTTTTTAAAGAAGTCAAACAAATGAGTTAATTCGACAAAATACCTTTTGCTAGTTTGTCATTTTTCCTTTCTGACCTTCTTTTTGGGTCTTTCCAATTCCTGTTGGAGAGAAAAATCTGGTGAAATTTCTATTCAAAACATTTCTTTTCTGCTAAAAAAAATGTAGCCTTCTTATTGTGGGTTTATTGAGCCTATAAGAGCAAAGTTATTTTTTAACTTAAGGGCTTATTAGCAAAAATATAGAACATGATTAGTCTTTACAAGGTCAAACTACAGTTTTATAGGTTGACTTTAATATACTTTAAGCTTCTTTGATTAAAAATTACTGGTCATTTGAGAGATGCAGATGAAAACAACACAGAGATTCCACCTCACCCCACAAAGAATGGCCGCTATCAAGAGATCAAACAATAACAGATGTTGGCAGAGTTGTGGGGAGAAAGGAACCCTTCTCCATTGTTGGTGGGAGTGCAGACTGGTGCAACCACTATGGAAATCATTATGGAGATACCTCAAAGAGCTGGGACTAGAGATTCCATTTGACCCAGCTATCCCTCTGCTGAGTCCAAAAGAGTTAAAAGAATCATATCACAGAGATATATGTGCACCTATGTTTATAGCGGCACAGTTTGTAATAGCTAAAACTTGGAAACAGCCCATTTCCCCATCAGTTGGAAACTGGATAGAGAAAGATGTGGTTTTTCTATAAAGTGGAATATTACTCAGCCATAAATAATGAGAAATTAGATTCATCCATAGGAAAATGGATACATATTGAGGATATACTCCTAAGTGAAATAAATAAGTCACACATGTGTAAATACCGAATAGTTTCTCTGGTGTGAAAAACTATAATAGTACATAAGATCCTAATGATATAATGGACAAAATGAAATAGGAAGAAAGGGGCTAAAGGTGTAGAGAAAGTGGGAAGGGTAGGGGAAAGGTAATAATAGAAAAGAAAAAAATAGAAAATGAAAAAATGGAAATGAAGTGTTTGTAAAGGGGGAGGGTAGGAGGGGGTGAAGGGAGGGCAGGGTCAAGGGGAAAAAATGAGAACCAAGACCTGTCATGTAAAGGTACAAGATCCCAACAATGAACGTAACTGTACTGTATACCTAAAATGTACCAATAAACTCAATGAGGAAAAAAAGAAAGAAAATTTGCATAGAAAAAAATTACTGTTAGCTTCTCTAACTTGTCTCATAATAAGCTGATATGTATTTATAGTGAGAAAAAATATAATAGGTAACTCGGAATAATAGGTGAAGCAAAAGTCACATTTGTTTATTTTCTTATGTCCATTAAGTGTATTTTTAGCAGTTGTGACACATTTACATTCCCACTGTGCTCATTTTACTTAGGTTAGATTTATTTTACTTCTTAAGAATATAGAGTTACAGCCCTAGGGTACTGACCTAGTGTTAAAAATTTCAATAGAGGGCCAGGGATTTGGCTCAGTGGTTCTCCTGCCTGCCTTGCATGCACAAGGACCCAAGTTCAATCCCCGGTACCAAAAAAAAAAAAAAGAAATTTTTTTTTCAATAGAAAAAAATAGCAGTAGTTGAAAGTTGACTATTTAAAATAGGGGTAATTCAGCATTTTAGTTCCTAATCTGTGATAGGTACCCTATTCTGTAGTATAACAGTATAGTTAAATAAAGGTTTGTTTTTAGATTAGATCTTTTCATTTCATATCACTGTTGGCATTCCTTGGTACAGTGTAGAGATAGAAATAAACTTTAAAGTTGAAAGTGTATTCAGATATACATTGCAATCATAATACAATCATTAAATAGTTAAATAGAACTGAGTGGAGAATTAGAAACTTTTGGAATTTAAACCCATTGAATGACTATGTCTTCCATCTAATTAAGGGCTGCCTATTGCAAAGTTAGAATTTTAATGTGGAGAATTTCCTTGATGCAGAAGCATAGTACTGACTTGGCCATAAACACATTAAGGAGTGATGTTAGGTTGGAATAATGCAGAATAGATGGTGTAAGCTGGTTTTTGAAAACCAGCAGATACTAGCATTCTCTGGCATTAGCAGTATTGCTGCAAATGCCAGTGATCCTATATAATGGTTGAATCCTAACACTTTTTCAGTATGATCATTTGGCCTCTTGTTACTTTATCCTGAGAGCTTTCATAAATGTTTTAAACTGCTTTTATTATGTCTGTCTTAAGATTACATTTGTTATATATACTTATACATGCATAATTTTTTACAGTATTTATAAATCTTAGCTTTTAGTGATTAAAAAACAAAATGGAGTGATTTGATTCATTTGCCTTTGATTCTTTTTATTTTTGTGCCTCTGGGGATAAATGTACAGCCTTGTATTTTTGGGATAGGGTCTCACTAAGTTACTAAGTTGTCCAGACTGGGTTTGAACTCATGATTCTCCTGCCACAGCCTCCCAAAGTGTTAGCATTACAGGCATGTGTCACCAAACCCAGCACTTGCCTTCTATTCTAAAGGAAAATGTGCTGAGTTGAGCTCAGGTTATGATACAAACACAGTTGTGTGTCAAAGGCCAAGACTTTAAAGTAATTTTGTATTTTTATCTGTGTGTATGTATGTGTGTGTGGTGTGTATGTGTGTGTGTGTGTTTGGTGCTGGGATTAAATTCAGAGCCTTACATATGCCAGGGAAGTGCTCTACTGCTAAGCTATATCTCCACTACCCTGTACCTTTATCTTTAATGATTTGCAAAAGTAAATTTTCATTTACTGTATAATAGATTTTAAGTGAATATGGTCATGAGGCAAATACTTAAATTTCCCAGTATCATGGACACTCCTTCATCTGAGTAATATTTTCAAAAGAAGTTTTAAACTAATGTGTATAAAGAGAAAACTTGTTTTTTTTTTTCTTTCAGATAAACTAAAGATTATTCATCAAGCACATAAATCAAAGGTATGTTCCACATACTAGTATCTGGCACATAGCAGTTATCAGTGGTGTTTGAATTGGTGAGAGAGCTCATGGTTGTCTAAAATCTTCTCCATTACAATTGCATTTTTAATTTTTGTATATTTCCTTTCTACACCCTTCCTTTCCTGCTAAAGAAAAGAAAAGCTAAGCTATATATAACTGTTAGTAGTAGATACTTTTTAAAAAAATGCTAATTAAAACAAAAAGCATGCCATGTGTTATTTGTCTCGTATATATTTACGTAAAATAACCATAAAACTTGGAAGGAAAGTTCAGGTTATATGTAAAAGGAGGCACTGTTATTTAGCATTCTGGTCTCGTTGACTTTCTTAATTCTTTGCCAGAAGAAAGGCCAAAAGCAGATCCCTAGTTTGCTTGTCTTGATACAAGGCACACCCTGGGATTCTAAAGTTGTCTTGCTTTCCTTGATGAGAGCTGTTTGTTTTTGTGTGTACCATGTATTTACATTTCTGTTTTCCTGACCTTTTAAAGTGATGTCTTTATGAAGCCACAGTAAAAGTCTTGCTTTTTATTACTGACAGAGTGGACTTTTTTCTAGTATCTCAGTGGCCTCTATAGATTCCTCATTAAACAGTCATCTTCCTCTACTGTGTGAACTGCTTAGAGGCATAGAACTGTATCTTATTCTTCCTCCTTTTGTATCTCTAATACCTAATGCAAAGCCTGGGTTATAGTTTTTCCATAACATTTTTGAATGAAGTTATTTATTTATGAAATCATTTTTGTTCCATTCTCTTCTCTAGTTCTAGTTTCCATGAACTCATTTAGCTTCCAAATAAATATATACCACAGGTACATTACTACTTTAAAACTTGCCTTTAAAACAAGGAAAATATCACAATGCCTGTGGGCTGTGCATTGGTAACTTCGTGGGTTTTCCTTTTTTCTTTTTCTCTGTCTATACATCCGATTCAAATACCTCAATATGTTGTGCTCACAAGTATCTGGGGGTGCATTGTGACACTTGCCCCCAGTATGGGTACTGGAATATTCTGTCACTATATCTGGCCACAGACCTCATCTGTTTTCTCTCCTCCAGTCCAGTAATATTTTCATTTTGGTTCCTAAAATACAGAGAATAGGAAGTGTGGTTCTATTTTATGGGAAGAACTATATATGAATATATTATAAAACATAAAGTTAGAATGAAACAGCATGCTTTTTGAAAAATTTGCCAAGTATATCATATCATTCGCCTTTCAGTGTTGCATTTTCACCTTGTTGAGCTTATTCATATGCTTGTATTTTCTGCAAGGACTAATTAGTAAACTCTCCTTTTACTGGAATGAAGAACTTGTTCATGACGTTCAAATAACCAGTGTCATGACATGTAAAAAGTCAGAAAGTTCTCCTCCCGTAGTTTAGAAGAGAAGAATCCTAGAAGTGTTACTGAGAGCTGAGACACACATTCTACTCTGGTGTGTTATATATAGTTGTCCTTTGGGATAGGTTCCAGGACCCAAATCCACAGATGTGAAGTCTCTTACATTAAATGGCATAGTATTTGTGCATAACCTGCACATATCCTCTTATATACTTTAAATCATTCTAGGTTACTTTAATACCAAAAAAATATAAATGTTATGTAAATAGTTGTTATACTGTATTATTTAGGGAATAATGTAAAAGAAAAGTCCACATGTTCAATACAGACATAAACATCATAGGCCTAACTGTGTTTTCAATCTGCAGTTGGTTGAATCTGCAGATACCCAACCCTTGTATGCAGAAGGCCAGTTGTAGTTGTAAAATTAGGGCGTATTTTTCTAGTTGAACAATGCATTTATATAAGAAGGGATTCACAAAACAAATTAAGTTACTTACACTTTTTCTGGGCTCTGGATTAATAAATGCATAGTAACAAGTCTAGTTAAGTATAGACTCTATACTTTGGGGGTGATTCTGCAGGTTTCCATGGAATTCCACATATTTTTACAGATACAGTTTTTCATTTTTTACAAAAGGAAATTTATTTCAAAAGCATAAGGTAAAATTTACATTTAAAGTGATAAACAGTTGTCTTGCAAAGGAAAGGAAATCCATGGCGTGAAGTTTTTCATTTTCATTTCTGAAGCAAAAAAAATAAAAGCCCTAACTATTGCCTTAGGAAAGGGAAGGAGAACAATGAAGTGTGAAGGGAAGGAAAGTGTCAAATCAGTATCAAACTTGAGGAAGTCGAGTCACTTTTGTTCAGCTTTAAGTTTATAGATATGCTTAAAAAGAGAGGAAAAACTAACACTCTGTTCAAATATAATGTTCAAATTTATATAGCTGGAGCTCCAACATAGTTTTTGTACTTGAAATGGCTTGTAGTCACTGGCTGATCTGTCTCAGGTCCAGACCGGCCAGCAGAGGTTTTCAGCGTTAATTCCATGCTCCTAAGGCTGTTCAGGTTCCAGGGGAGCTTAGGTGTGGCTCAGTCTTTTGGGATGTTTAGGAATTATTGCCATCACTCCGTAGTGAAACTGACCAGTTTCTTATGCTCACTTGTATCATTCTAGCCTTTAAGAAACATTTTCCTCATAGACATGTGCAGTAATTCTAACAAAGGGGTTTTATTTTTTTCCCAGTTTTTCAGATATGGTTTTAAAACTTCACTCATATGTTCTCCTTCATACCTTCTCTGACTGCTAGACTTTTTTCTCATTTCCAAGTGATCACTGTCCTTTAATCTTCTGTTCCATCTGTGGGGCTGTTAGCTTCTCCAGCCAGGCTGCTCAGATTTCTAGCCCAGCTAGAATTTTACTCTTCTGTTAGCCAAAAGGAGAGACTTCCAAATAACTCTTGTATGTTAATGAATTCATTTACAAAAGGCATTTCTTCCATTTCCCTAATTTTGGGGATCTAGAGACTTTCCTAATTGTAATTATCAGATATTCTTAGAAACTGTTTTCTATCACCACAGTAAGAAGACTCTCTGGATACCTGCCCAGCAGACCCTCATATTTGGACAGTGAGCTAAATGCTGAGATGATGAATCCACAGTAGAGTGGAAATAATTACCAGAATATGACTGTGCTTTGGTTATCAAGACATGATATTATGGATTATTATCTGTAATTATGGGTTATAGTTAGTAAGCTGTTTATAGTCAGAATAATTTCTATTAGAAAGATTTCAGTAAAAACTATTCTATCTTGTATTTTCTGTGTTTGGAAACCAGGTAGCTAGGCTTGTTAAAATTATATAAAAGGGGCTGAGGATTTAGCTCACTGGTGCTGCCACCTGCCTTGCAAGCACAAGGACCCGAATTCAATCCCTGGTACCAAAAAAAAAAAAAAAAATTATTTAAAAGGAAGAAATATCATGGAATAAACTTTGTAAGAATGTGCAAGGTCTTTAATGAGAAATTTTATTTTTATTTTAGTTTTAAAAAGAAATTTATTTTGTGGTGCTGGGGATCAAACTGAGAGCCTTGTACATGCTAATGAAGTTCTCTACTACTAAGCTACATGCCAACCCAGAATAAAATTTTTAGAGTGGAAGGGTGTCCTTCCCTACCCCTGCCACAAACGCACTTGAAAACATGAATATAAACTTTATTAATTGTCCAGATTCATTAAAGTAAGCTCCACTTAAGATCTATGCATTTTCATATGTTAAAGCCTACTTTACTTTAACAAAGTAGAACTCTTTATGAGGAATCCAAAATTAAACTTATGTACAAATGCTTAGGATATTTTACCTTTTTTTAAAGACCTCCTATGTAGTTCAGGCTGGACTTAAGCTTGTGAACCTTCTGTCTCTGCCTCCTGAGTGCTTGAATTACAAGTGTGTTCTGCCATGCCTGGTGCTTAGAATATTTTGGAAAGGAATGTGAGATAGCTTGAAGATGCCAGTTCTCTTCTAGTTAACTTATAAATTTAAGGCCACCCCAATAAAATGCTATAAATAGTTTTGGACATAAAGAGGTTGATTATTATATTTATAAATTTAAAAAATTAAGATGTAGGGGCCGGGGAGTTAGCTCAGCGGTTCGGTGGCCTGCCTTGCAAGCGCAAGGACCCGAGTTTAATCCCTGCTACAAAAAAAAACACAAAAAAAATTAAGATGTATTATGTACATATACCAAGTCTTCACAAAGAATGTAAACACAGACTACAATCATGTACTAATAAAAAATAAAATAAAACAATAAAAAATAAGAATAGGAGAATTCTGAAAAATAAATGAGGGCGACTAGGCCTAGCATAATACTAAGACATAGTGCAAACCATACTAATTAAAACAGTGTGGTACTCTAACATGAACTGCTAGTTCAGTGAGACCAACTTAAAAGTCTGGAAGTAAACCCAAATATATATATAGAAATATAGTATGTAGTAAATATGGAGAAAAGATGGAGGATTCAATAAATGGTATTGAAACATCTGGGTAGACATCTAGAAAACAGTTAAGTTGAATCTGTTTCTTTTCCTTTATGCCACAATAAATCCCTATTGGGTTAATGTAAAATTTAAAACCATAGAGGTGAAACAGATTGAATCTAAATTAATAATTTGTTCAAGTTGGGCGATGGTTATAGGGAGGGTTTATTACATTATTTTTATATAAAATTTTGAAATTCTCTACAGTTAAACATTTAAAAATGAAATTCACAAAAACATTTCAGAAAACATGGGATTTAAAAAATAATCTTGGAGCAGAGACAGACTAAATGTGATAGAAAACTGGACAACCAAGGGCCAGGGATTTCGTTCAGTGGTTTTGCTGCCTGCCTTGCAAATGCTAAGGTCCCAAGTTTGATCCCTGGTACCAAAAAGAAAAAAAAAAAAAAAAAAAAAAAAAAAAAAAGAAAAAAAAGAAAAGGAAAACTGTGCAACCAGTTGTAAAAGCGTACATTTTACTTCATTCATTCACTTATTCAATCAAAATGATTAATTTGGGACCTTTTGTTTTGAAGAAATATCATGCCAGATATGGTGGTGGCACATGGCTGTAATTCTAACCTTCTGGGGGCTGGGGCAGGAGTATTGCTAAGTTGGGCTCAGTAAGACCCTGTCTCAAAATAAAAAATTAAAAATGGGCTAGGGATATATTTCAGTACCAAACACACACACACACAAAAGCAAGAGAAAAAAGAAACTATAGGAAGAGTAAAGGAACAAATGAAAAGTAGGGGAAATTTTTCTAACTTCTAGAAAAGACCCAATTTCCTTGGTGTATAAAAATAACTGTAGCTCAAGGTAGTTTGTGTTCATCATCCAGAGACTCTGAGTTTGATCCCTAGCATTGCAGGACAGAAAAAACAAAAATGCAAATCAAGCAGAAATTATGAATAGCTTTACTCAGAATAGATACAGAGTAACTCCACTTAAATTTGGCCATATTCTAGAAATAGAATACGTGGCTAAACAGCTGCATTCCAGTTGGCAAGTGATTCTATGTGCTGTTCAAGGCCAATACCAACTTGAGATTTTCTCTTGTATTTATGATTTCTAACTAGGCTTGTAAATGTCGTTGGAGATTTTGGTCCTCTTTTACACTTTCAGTTTCTCACACCAGAGGAAAAAATCGGTATTTATGCATGTGTGTCCTACTTATTTCACTTAGAGTATGGCCTCAATGTGCATTCATTTAGCTATAAATGTCTCTAATTTATCATTCTTTATGGCTCAGGAGTACTCCATTTTGTAAAAAAAAAAAATTTATTCAGTCACCAGTTGATGGCATTTGTTTCCAAGATTTAGCTATTATGGACTGTGCCACTATAAACATGGGTGTCCATATATCGCTGTGGTATGATGCTTTTAATTCTTTTGGGAAGATACCCAGCAGGAGAATGGCTGGGTCAAATGGAACCTCTAATCCTAGTTTTTTAAGGAATCTCCACATTGATTTCCACAATGGATGCACCAATCTATACCTCCACTAACAGTGGAGAAGGATTCTTTTCTCCCCTGACCCCCAGCCCCGCCAGCATTTGTTATTGGTTGATTCTTTCTGGAGTGAGATGGAATCTCAGTGTTGTTTTCATTTTCATCTCTTGAATGACCAGTAATGTTGAACATTTTTCATATGTTTATTTGCTGCTTCTACTTCTTCATCTGAGAAATGTCTATTCATTTCAGATGCCAGTGGAGAAGGATTCTTTTCTCCCCTGACCCCCAGCCCCGCCAGCATTTGTTATTGGTTGATTCTTTCTGGAGTGAGATGGAATCTCAGTGTTGTTTTCATTTTCATCTCTTGAATGACCAGTAATGTTGAACATTTTTCATATGTTTATTTGCTGCTTCTACTTCTTCATCTGAGAAATGTCTATTCATTTCAGATGCCCACTTTTGGATTGAGTCTTTATATTTTTGACGCTAGTTCACATGTGACTGAGGTTTTGTTCATAAAGTCTTTTCCTATGACAATGTCTTCAAGAGTTCTACCTAGCCTATCTTCTAGCAGGTTTAGTATTTCTGTTTTAATATGTAGATCTTTGATACATTTTGACTTTAGTTTGGTGCATGGTGAAAGATGCAGGTCTAGTTTTAATCTTTGGCAAGTTGAAACCCAGTTTTTCCAGAACCATTTATTAAAGAGGCTGTCTTTCCTCCATTGAGGATGCTTGGCTTCTTTGTCAAAGATGAGGTGGCTGAGTATGTCTGGAGTTATTTCTGCATCTTCTTGTAACTTGTTCCATTCATCCTCAGGTCTGTTTCTTTGCCAGTAGCATGCTGTTTTTATCACAGTAGCTTTGTGGTATAGTTTCAAGTTGGGAATTATGGTATCCCCTGCCTTATATAAATGAGGACCAAAATGTATAATAGATAATGTGAAATACGAAGAAATGGTTCAAAGGTGAAGGGGAGCTAGGGATTAGGGTGTGCAAAAGGAAAGAGAGAAAAGAAAACAATAAGAAAAAATGGAAGCAAAGCTTTTGTAAATAGGGAGAGATGGGGGAATGCGGGGGAGGGAAGAGGAATAGGAAGAAACAAGAACCAAGATATATCACATACAGGTACAAATTCCCAGTGATGAGTGGGATCATAACGTATACCTAAAGTGTACCTATAAACTTAATGAATTAAAGAAAAGGCACAAATGATAAATATTGCATTTCACTCATGCGGGAAATCTAATAAGGTAGATCTCATAGCAGTTGAGAGTTAAATGAGAGTAACCAGAGCCTGGGAAGAGTAGTAAGGAAAGGTTGGTCATTGAATACTGAGTAATAATTTATAGTTAGATAGGAGTAATGATAATGTACTGTGTATTTTGAAAAAAAAAAAACTAAAATCATTTTGAGTATTTTTGATAGAGAAAACTTTTTTAAATAGTCTGAAATAAAGAAGTTAAGATGAAAGGAATCTCACCAGTCCTGCTTTCCTAACTCTGACCCCCACTCTTGTGGGCTGGAATAGCTAAAGATAAACATTCTGAAAGAAAATGCTACATTTGGGTTAACACTGAACTGTCTTGTGACTGTGATTTGTGACGGGAACTGTGGGAACTAGAATGTCTTGTCACCTAAAATGAGGTCATGGTTGTAATACTCCTATGAAAGACAGATTGTAACCCAGCCCAGGGTCGGTCATTTGGCACAGCCTTTGGTGCAGGCCGACCCTTTGCTACCAAAGTAAACGTTTTTTTGTTTTACCCACTTCCATGTCATTTACTTCTGTGTGTCATGTACCACTTTCTTCCGCAACATTTTCACTACAAAGAAATGATAAATATTTTAGGAATTGGATACATTTACCCTGAATTGAGCATTATACAAAGTATACAGGTATTGGAGTAAATACGTGCAATTTTATGCATCAATTAATACTATTTATCCTAAAAATGTCATTGGAGAGCAAACTCATCTATGCCCACTTCAAATTGCATGGAAAAGTATTACAGTTAATATGACATGGGACCAGATCCTTGCTCACTTGGGTAAAGGTTTTAAGTAGTGGTACCTCGGTTCACAAACAAGAACCAAATCAAATCCGTTGGTTAGGTTCAATGTTGACCTTCTGTGGAAATTTGATTCAGTTCTCATCCAATTCAGTTTGCAACTAGAATCATGGAAAGAATAAGTTCATGAACCGAGGTACCACTGTATATGTAGACTTTAGGCCATTTGAGATAAAATTACTTCTCTCAGAAGTCAGACTGGCCAGAGCTTGACCTCAGCTCCATCGCTGAGTAGCCACATACTCTGGGCCTCTACATTCACCTTTCCCTTTGCTCGTGGACTGTTGAGCTGATGCCGTGTGAAGATGGTGATGATAGCATCACCAGAACAGTGCCAGCCAACACAGGGGGCTGCCGTATGCACTGAGAGTTTATAGCTTCACCTCACATCTCATCTCAAGGAGATGAGGAAGATGATTTTGTCCCCCTTTTCTAGAGATGAGGAAACTGAGCCTTAGAGAGGTTTTGCAGCTTGTTGAGGACCCACAGCTGGGTCGTGAGGTAGCCTAAATTTGAACCCAGGTGTAACTCAAAAGCCATGCGCACACTACCAAGTCCACACTGGCTATCTGCTCCCTTCTGTTTTTTTGGTACCAGGGATCAAAATTGGGACCTTGTGCTTGTGATGCAGGTGGCAGCACCACTGAGTTAAATCCCTGCTCTGCTCCCTTCTCATCACCATAGTGGGAGTGGAGTGTGACTTTGATTGTTGCTTAAACTCCAGGTAATAACTTCCCGTCTTTGAGAATTCTTACCAAATGTAAAAGCCATATCAGTATTGATAAAATGAAGATCTTTCTTTTTAGACAAATGAACTCGTATTGAGTTTGGAGAATGACGAGAAACTTCTGCTGAAAGAAGACAGCACTCTGAAAGCTGCAGGAGTTGGTGAGCAGGGGCTGTGTATGGCTGGAGGACACTCGTTTTCCTGGCCTGTGTGGTGAAGCCTGGCTGACTGCATTTGGGCAATTCTCTTCAAGGCAACTCTCTCCGTGTTGCTCCTTGCACGGCCCCTCACGTCAGGTCTGATCATTTGACCAAGGACAGTGGATATTTACTGTCCAGATAAGCAGAATGCAAATACCTCTTTTCAGAAAGTTTGCTCAGAAATCTGCTGAGGGTCATTTTATTTGATTAACAGGTTATTAGTACCACGTCTCCTTACTCTCATCTGAGCCAAAGTGGACCTAGTAGAACTAATGTAGAATAATGAAATGAGACGTTGTTCGTACAGCGTGCAGGGTGGTGTCTGATAGTCATCTAAGTCACTCAGGGCCAACTAGTGCATGGGATTTAAAACAGCAGCCTCGTTCTGCAGTTGAGTAGTTGCCCAGTTTAACCTTTCAACCTGGAATATGCATATAGTTCTATTTTAAAGTAATGCTCTGTGGCATGTCTTAACGCCCATTAGGTGTCACTGTTATTCTACTTATATGTTCACCTAAAGATGATCCAGCAATAAAAGAGTGAAGGTTATTAGCAGGGAAGTCTGAGCAGTTAAGGACTCTGAGCCTTTGACTTAGCTCCGTGGCCAGGGACCGTAATGGATTCTCCTGATGACGCTTCCTCGTAATTCTCTATGCACGCTGGCTAAGCAGCATCCAAAGAGAGGGCTGTATTGGGAGCCATACATTTCTGACTGGTATTCTGTTGAGTTATTCAATTGCATATGTCAAGAATTCGCTTGTGAATGATTCATGCTGCTTATGTGAATTCCTGACACGAACTTTTCTGTGTAAATAGGATTTTAGATAGCAGGTGATAAATTTTAGATTTTCTTTTTTTGTGTGTGTAAAAGTCAATTTTTTGGTAGAATTAGTACCTTTCATAAGATTGATTGCTATTTGAAAAGCACTTTTAACTTGGTATTTTTCTCTTCAAATGCTATTATTGTGACCTGTGTTGAGACCCATGACCTCTGGAGGGTACCCTGCTTGTTGTTAAAGTGTGAAGCTATAATGAAAATCAGGACTGATAGAGATGTGGGAACTGACAGCTCTATGAAAAGACTGGATAACCCCAAAACTAAAACAAACATAAGATTTTACAAGGTGATAAAATTGATGTCTGAGATAAATGGGAAAAGAATAAATTAGCCAGTGAATTACACTGGCTCATTGTCAAAGCATCAGAAAAATAAATTTTAAATCTTTATCTCACACTTTATTCCAAAATAAATGCTGTGTGGATTAAGTATTATAATGTAAAAAAAAATCTTAAGAAAGTGTAACTCAGTGATTTCATAATCTTGGCAGAAGAGCTTTTGAAGTATGACCTCAAAGGTAGAGACCATAAAAGGGGAAAATGATTAATTTCAATGTATAAAAACCAAAAAATATAAACAGTGAAAGGGGAGTTAACTATGAAAAAATATTTGCAGCATACATGGCTGATAAAAATTATTAGACTGGCTCTGTAAAGGTCTCTTCTTGTAATTCTATTAAAAGTAAATTCTTTCAAAAGGAATATTTATATATAAAAAATAGTTCCACCTTATTAGTAGCAAGAGAGATACATTAAAATAGACTCTAGTTTTACATAGTGTCGTCTCATGGTTGAGAAGTACAGCCCAGATACCTGTGCTTAGGTCAGAACCTGATTCTTCTCTTACTGTCTGCGACTTCAGCAAGCAGCAGTGGGTTCAAGATGAACAGTCATGAGGAGGTAGAAGTGCAGGGTAGTTCATGGGTAGGGAAACAGATATTCTTTGTACCACTGTTGGGAATGTGTCTTTCCCCTAATGCCCTGGAGGTCAGACCTAACTCTCTGTTGTATTTATTCTGAAGCTAGCAGAAGCATCTGCTCAGCTTGTGAGATGGTGTACCTTTAGAGGGGTGGATTCTTATTCATGCTTACCTTTCCTGTTTGCCAATCCCTGACATAGAGCTTTACTTACTTCATGGAAATATAATATATTGTGTGATAGCATTATCATTTAAGTGCATATATTAACGTGTTTGTATGTGGAGGTAAGATTGTATACCAAATTATAAAAATGTTTTCTTGGGGTGTTGGCATTACCAGTAATTGTTTTATTTCCTTTCTATTTTATTTTTTATGAAAATAGGAATAAGAAGGTTATCACAAGAGTTGAGTAAAAGAATGAAGATCCCAGGGACAGTGCACATAAAATATCCTTAGACCATTTTGGAGAAGACAGTTGGCAAATATTTTGAATTTCCTGAAACCAAGTTGTTGGTACTTTGTCACTAATTTCAGGCTGATTTATATTACAAGCCAGCTAGAAAGGCAAGAATCACATGTTTTAAGGCTGTCAGACTTCCACCAGAATCAGATGCTTTCAGCAGGTTCTACGCTTGCCTCCGGGTGGTACAGGATCTGCACACTCCCCACTAGTCCCTGGGAGGGCTGCGGCTCGGCCACATGCAATTTCAGTCCATGTTGTGCAGTTTTGTCTTTGTTTCTCCGAGCAGAGCCAATCTTCCTGCAAATGAGCCAGAGCTGTACCTGGGAAACAGATGTAAGGGTCTGCAGAGAACCACATAAAATGCTACGGGAGAGTTGAGTTGTAAAAGTGATACTTGAAGTGTGTGATTTTTCCTAGGGAATTTTCCCTCCTTCTGTGCTGGTTAGGTTTTTAAGAGATTTAACAGAAAAATTCGAAGTCATCATTCTGTCCTTTCTTACCACTTGATCTTGCTGCAGAGCTGTCACTCTGCTATCACAGCCAGTTGCCATGGGAATACTGCCAGTGTAACAAATTTATCACTGTGACTTTTCTGAGGGAGCCATGAAAGGAAAAGAAAGGCTGGGTGGGAGAAATTAAGGCAAAACCTTGTTTGAAGATTCCTTTTCATACAGAGTGGTTCTCCAGTTCATACTCTGGCCTTTTATCTGCACTGCCAATTTTCAGGGTTTCTACCCCTGTCGTCAGTACACATTTTTGCTGTGGACTTAGTGCTAAAATATGTAAATAAACCAGGTTTGTTTTCTGGAAGGAAGAAGAGAGTTTTACATAAAACTTGAAGTTATTTATGATTTAAATGGGTTTTAAAAATTTCATTTTTAATAATTATAGATTTATGGACTAATTCTCCCACGTAATACTTTGGCATATAAGCTTTTGTTTGTTTTAGTCTTTTATATTTTGGCTCTTTCATTTTGCTGTATTCTACTGTTAGCTCTTGAATGTCCTCTGGTTTAAAAAAGAAGCTGGCAGAGTAACCTCTAAAGCTAGTTATGTTTTACTGGAAATATTTTAAAACAATTACAGTGGACCAAACAGTAAGTGCTTGTCTGAGGGAAGAGTTCTCACCGACCCTGGTCCTGTGATAATCCCAGAACTCCTGTGTGCTTCGCTTTTATTTCGCTTGTTGCTTCTGTCATTGGACCCTGCCAGCACCTGGGCTGCACTCGCATCTCTTGGTTATTCCTACCTCCAGCTCGTGCTGTCGGATTGCTCGCTCCCACTTTATCGGGGTTGTGTCTCCAGTTGTTTTTCCTTAAGGTTTGGATCCTTTCCGCCCATCTAAGGGCATGCACATTTTCTTCCTTCGACAGAGTGTCACGGTGCTGCCGGCATCCACATCGGTGCCGTCTGGTGCCAGTGACATAGGTGTTACACTGGGAAATCAAATGGTTCCAGAAGCCTGAGTGCCTCTTCATAGATTTTTGGTTCCTTATTATTATTAACTTCTTTTTGCAATTTTATTTTTTACATTTAAAGTTACTAATTTTGAGACATAATTGAAAATATTAAAATGTGCTATTTTGATACACATGTACAGTGTAGTCTACATCAGGGTAGTTAGCGTATCAGTCACTTTAAACATTTATCATTCCCTTATGTTGAGAACATTCAAAATCCTTTCTTACAGCCATTTTGAAATACATGGCAGATTATTGTTAACTGTAGTCCAGCTACTCTTCTTCAGACACTAGAATTTATTCCTCCTGATTTTTTTACCAACTGACTAATCTCTCCCTGATGTACCCCATCTCCTGTCCCAGTAACCCTTATTTTACTAATTCTAAAACTTTTATAGCATCCACTTATAAGAACATGCACTGTTGTCATTTTCTGTCCCACTTATTTCTCTGAACATAACGTCCTCCAGTTCCATCCATGTGACTTCAAATGACAGTATTTCCCCCTTTAATTGGCTGAGTAATACTCCATGAGGGTATGGTTGTTCTTTTCTTCTTTCTATTTGCTGTATGGAAATTACAGGTTTGTGCTCCTTTTCGGATAGGTTGGATTGTGCACTGTTTTCTTCAAGCTGTAGTTTGACATCTTCTCTACCAGCTGATGCAAAGCAGACGTTGAAGTGTGACATGCAAAGCACCTCTTTGTTGGATGGTGACCTCCTTTGGCAAAAACTTAGAAATAGATCTGAGCTGTGAGCATGGCTTTGAATGATTTTTAGATTAGTTTTGCAAAACTTGGGAGGTTAGATAGGGTAAATTCTTGGAGCAAGAGAGGGGATAAACTTTGTTCTCTTGGCCTCAGCTTGCCCCGTCAACTGCCCCACCCCCATCGGGTATTTTTATTTTTTAATCTGTCGTCATTGCCACATGATAGGTTGCCCTGATGGAATCGCAAAACCTCTGCATGTTTTGGTCTCTCTCTTCCAGACAACAGGCGTGGTGCTTTGTATCACTTTGGTGCTGACTTACACAAGGCTAGGGATATAGAAAGTGTATGAGGGATCTTCATCAATAGATGAGTTTGAGATAGGTTAGGTGAGGAATTTAAATACATGAATTTCATTTTCTGGGGTTTTACATTTAAACTTGGCTTTTTTCTTATTTTTTTGTATTTAAAGACATCATTGGGCTGGGGATTTAGCTCAGTGGTTCTGCTGCCTGCCTCACAAACACAAGGTCCGAAGTTCTATCCCTGGTACCAAAAAAAAAAAAAAGACATCATTAGTATTTTCCTCTTAGAGTGTGTATGTGCAGTATGGTGGCATATGTATACTGTCATCCCAGCACTCTGGGAGGCGAGGCAGGAGGATCACAAGATTGAGCCTAGCTTGGACAGTTTAGCAGCTTAGTGTGGGACCTTGTCTCAAAATAAAAATTAAAAAAAGAACTGGGGATATAGCTCAGTGGAAAGGCCCTATTTTCAGTCCCTAGTACCACACAAGGAAAAAGGTGTGTGTGTGTGTGTGTGTGTGTGTGTGTGTGTATGTCCTGTTATGAAGCATTATAAAATTATTAATTTTATATCCAAGCTTTTCTTGGCTTGTATTCATTCATTAAACTGGAACATCAGTATTAAAATGATCCACAAATGTATTTGGAGGGCTTTTACTTGATTCCATTTGATAGTAAAACGAAGAGATGAAGTGGCAGTGTATTTATTGGATTTTAGATTGCACATTCATTTCAGATTCCCATGCCAAGGCCCTGTGCACCTGACTGCACTGCTGCCTGCAGCACATTTAATTTAAAAGCAGGTGCCTTCGGGGACCAGCACGAGCTGCCTTCCTGAGGGTCCTTCCCCAGCCGTTTGTAAAGGAGCCACTTAAATAGAATCCTGAAGCAGGAGTGTAAGAGATAATGATGTAAAGGATGATTATAAGAAGGTCTTAGAAATCATTTGTTATTTTTTTCCACTTAAATCAGCAAATCAATTTGCACTGTAAATTCACAAAATCATTCTCTCAAACATTTTCAACAGAAGTTTACAGATTTTTAAGAAACATTACTCCTTTTGAGACTGCTAAAGTTTAACATCCACTATAAATGTTAAGGGTAACAAGTAATTTATGTATTTTTCAATTTCAGGATGAACAGTTTTTTTTATCAACTTGAAGTATTTGACTTTAACCTATTTGTCAAACCAGTTTTCCTGGAAAAAAAAAATTGAATCACCTGAAAATAAAATCTTTACCCCAGATTATTTCATTTTGAGCCTAGGAGAGATGGCATCAGTACTCTATAAATAATGAGTTGCTCTCTAAGTTAATTAGGCCTGAGAGAACCAGCTTGTCCAACAAACCTGCTCTGCTGGTGCTTGCTGTCCATCGCTTTATTCTGAGCCTGCTCCTCCTATACTGAGGGGCTGTGTGGCGTATTAGTCTCTCAAAAGGGGTACGGGTAAATGTCAACTGCAATAAGAAAAAATTTTAATTACATCCAGCATGGCTGCGCACTGGGTGGGCCATGACTTTGTAAGTTCTGTATGTAAATAGCACATCGCAGATAGAGCCTTGCTCTGAGTGTTAAGAACAGCATGCCTTTTGCCCTTCCTCCATTAGAAAGATAGTTAGAATCACTTATAAATTATCTGGGTCTGCCTCTGAGCATGTTTCTCCTCAAAAAGAAAACCCCGGGAGGCTTCTGTTGAAAGGACAGATCTCAGAGTATCTTATCTTTGAGTAACTAGTTTTCTGAAGCCCCCTTTTTTTGACGTTACTGATTCCACTGTCAGCCTCATACCCATTTTTTGAAATGCTATTTCTTGACAATTTTGACTGTGTATTAACCTACTGCTTACTCAGGGTACCTCCATTTACAGCCCCTCCTTGTTGATTCCCAGTTTCTCTGCTGTGTCCCCTGCCCCAGAGGCTTGTGTGATGAGAGCTTGTAATCTTGATTTTCTTCTATTCATATTAAATTTAATCTTGTCTAAGACATAGTAGGACAGAGGGAGGACCTGCTAATGTGAATGGTTTTATTTCTTCTTTCCACATTTATTTTTTGTAGTGAAATTGTTGGCTTACGATGGAGAGATATTAGGAACAGCTACAGCATTTTTAATAAATGTCATGCTAATCACTTTAATTTTATTCTTTTATGATAAATTCTAATGATGAGATTAGAGCTGTAAACTGAGACACCAGCAGTAATCCTTGGCACCCTTCTTATTATCCTATTTATTTGGCTTGAAGAGTTGTATTTGTCTATTCTTAGAGTATATGTTAATTGAGTACTCGGTATTCATTACAAATAATCTTGTCTGTTTTCTTGTGGAGATTTCGAGAAGGCCCTTTTGCTCTCTCTGTAAAAGCCAAGTAGACTATTAACTTCTGGTTTAATTTAAGAAACCAATGTGGACTTGTTGGCACAACACCTTAAAGAACTGCATGTTTAATAATTGGAAGGCTTTCCATCAGATTTGTATCCAGTCTGAATTAATAATGTTGCTGACTTATTGTTTTAGAAGACAGAGTCCTTGACCTGCTAGGTTGAAAGAATTGTGGCTGCTCTGAACCTTTGTGGGTCCTTTAGCTGTGCCAGGTCCCCTGTGAATAATTAGAGGTGTTTGAAGGTATTGCAGTAGAAGCCAATTTGTGTCTTTCACTTTGCATATTGTTGAAGCCTCATGAATTAATCATAAGCAGGGCAAAAAATTAACTTCTTCAGACACATATTTTGATGGGTCATGAGGGAGAATGTAAAGTGATCTGTAAAATATTCTACTGATCCTCTAAGTATTAAATTATTATGCCTACAGGCTAATTTCAAGGGGGGAAAGAGTTCTCCCGATTGCAGGAACTGAGTAGCATATTTGAAAAAAAAATCAGTTTGTTAGTTTCTAGGACTGCAAAGATGACAGTAAATGAGCAATTCTGTGATTTCCTGAAAATCGTAACTCTTATGTTAACTCTTGATTCTAACTTTGGGAGTTTTTCATTTAATCATTATTTGTTGATTAGGTGAAATATATTGTGCAACAAATAACCCATCCCTTTCAAACCAAAGTTATGTGGATTTCCAGCCTTATTTAAATACGAATATTAAAATATTAACATATTTTTTCCATCTTCGGTTTTTCAGCCAGTGAAACTGAGATTGCATTCTTCTGTGAAGAAGATTATAAGAACTACAAAGCTAATCCCATTTCGTCCTGGTGATGGTGTCTCAAGAGCTTCCTTTCTGCATACCTGTAGTGTAAGCTCTTTATTCCACTAGTGAGTTTTTGAAATTGACAAATGCATCTTAAAAATTAATCCCCAGTGCTACTATTTGAGCTAAATCTGGTGATTTTTTTCTCTGCAGGGTCCTCCCTTCCTTCCTTGTTGGAAAATAATATAAGAAAAATATTTTTTAAATTTAATAAATGTTTATTCAAAATCTTATTTTGTTTTTTTCATTAGGGTTTATTTTTGGGATTTACATATTGAGTTATTTTAAAAGATAAGTCCCAGGTCAGTTGTTTAGCTTGCCTTTTTTTCTATAGTTTGTAATTAGAGCAACTGTTACTGTCTTTGGTTGTCAGAGATTATTAGGTCTGTGAGGACCATCTTTTAGCTCAGGAAGTATGTGATGTACACCTCCATAGTGTGATATTAAATGGTATTTATTTTGGGGAGGTCTTAAGATGTGAGAGAGTTCCTTTTCTTTCAGTATTATAGCAAATAACATTGCTGAAAAAAATATTTTTCTAACATGTATTTCCTGACTTTTATTATTGCACACTATAATAAAACCAAACTTATTTATTTGGAGAGAGGAGGCAGCTGGCTATTTGTACTTTTAGGAGAAAATTGTTTGTGGAGAACAAGTCTGCATCCTGGAAGACATATTTCTTTTAAAAAATAACATAATGCTTCTGGTTCCTTAGAGCAGCTGATGACTAAGGCCTGAGCAGGGTCATTTCAGTGGGGCCTCTTAGCCCATGTGGGTCTAATCTAAACCTCTGGCGAGGTCAATTGGCTCCATTTACCCTGAAGTTGACAGTAGGCTTCACTGTGCTAGTGTCTTACTTAAGAACCTCCCTTGTTAAAATGAGCTTTGAAAGTCTGATTGACATGATTAGAAGCAGCTTTGCTTTGTTGAAAGATTGAACAGAATCTTCTTTAAAACAGAAATTCTATTTATTTCATTCATTGTTTGATTCCTTACACAAAGTGTTAAATATATAGATGGCCTAAGATATAATCTTTGCCTCAATGAGTGGGGAAGATATAGAAGCAAGTGATTTTGATAGAACAGCAGTAAAAACTGCTCTGGGAACATTGGCAATGGGTAATTAATTCTATATGGGATTTTAAAATTTTTTGTTTTTGTTTTTATCATTATTATTATTATTTTATGTTTTGGGGTACTGGGGCTCATACTTGGGAACTTGAGCTTGCAAGGTAGGAGGCAGCACCGCTGAGTCAACTCCCCAACCCAGGATTTTTATTTTTTAAGAAGTAGTAGTTAAGTTATATCTTCAAAGATTGAACAGACATTTTTTGCTTAGAAGAAATGAAAGGCTTCCTGGAAGAGGGATGAACAGAAACACGGAAACAAAGCTCTTGGAAGGAGCTTGGGGTTTCTATAGAAAGCTCAGATTTCCATGCACTGGATGTAAAGTACAAGAACAACACAGGAAGCCAAAGTCAAAAAAGTTGGTTGAGCTTGGCCTTGTGGGTCACACAGAAAACTTTGGAGCCAGGGGCAAGATTTAAGCGGTTTTAATTGCACAATTCCATTTTTATTTTAGAAAGTGAGCTTTGTTGGCCATGTCAGGAGAGGGAAAAGAGTACAAGATGGTTGTCATAGATAAGGTGAAGACTGGCAGGCCTGGCCTGGCCCAGACACAGGGGAAGCTGCGGAGAGGATATGATACCGAGAGTGTTTGCAAGAGCAAATATGGTGGCGAGTGCTTTACATGTGTTATCGCATTTACCTTTGACTACAGCTTTTCACACTTGAGAGTAAGTAGTCTGTGTACAGATGAGGAAATTAAGGGCTGGATGACTGGAGTGAAATTTTGCCTTAAAATTCTTAGTGCTTGTTCCATCTCATCACCTCCTACCAAGAGACATGAGGTAGAATGATTGGTAGAGTGTTTGGAACTTGGTGCGGACATTGTAGGGAGGGCAGAGAGGACAACTGCATCGGGTCCTGTGGGAGTGAATGGCTGCAGTGATGGTGGCAGCGTTGATCTACATAGGGATACAGTAAGTAGCCTGGGTTAAAACATACCCTTTTTGTTCATTTGGCACACATTCAATTTATATACAAGCTTTTCTTTTTATATAGAATGAGCATGTCTTGTATATTTTCTTTGTAACAAATACTAAAATCTGTATATAATACCTTTTGGAGGTATATTTTCCTTATGAAAGTTATATATGAGCTATTTTCCTATATAAAAACAGGTTTAAAATAAAAAACAAAAATGTATGGTGATTAAAAAGAACTTTTACCGGGACTGGAAGATTGGTTCAAGATGAGAAAACCCCTCTATCTAACTAACAAACTCTATAGACTAAAGAAGGAAAAAGTATTTATCTCAGTAAATGCCAAAAAAATTTGATGATATTTGTCTCTTTGTGTGTTTAAAAATCAGCAGTGGGTAGAAGTTTCTTTAACTTGATGAAGAGTAGTCACAAGTATTAAATCTATTAGATGTGGGTGAAAGTAGGATAATCCGCACTGTTGAAACTATTCAGCATTGTTCTGCAGGTCTCACTGTAGCAAATATAATATGTAAAGTAATAAGAACCACAGATGTGAAAAGATGCACATCCTTTTTTTTTTTTTTTTTTTTTTTTTTTTTTTTTTTTTTTTTTTTTTTTTTTTTTTTTTTTTTTTTTTTTTTTTGGTACCAGGGATTGAACTCGGGTTCCTGCGTGCTTGCAAGGCAGGCAGTGGAAACACTGAACTAAATGCCCGGCCACATCCTTATTTTTAAGAAAGATATTGAAAAGGAAAAAGACAAAAATTTCAGACAACATGACTGCAAGAGAATCTAGTGATAAATTAGAACTAGGAGACTTCAGGAGTGGTAGATAATTAACCTAAAATGAATTGTCCACAAAAGCTATAAATTGTTATTAGAAGGTTATAAAAAGGCCCAAGAAGAGAGAGAGATTACGTGTTCATAGATAGGAAATACAGAGTTATAAAGATGTAGAATTGTACCTAATTTAAAATTTAGCGCAATCTCAATGAAAACCCCAAAGGAAATTTATTATAGAATTTGAAAAAATGGATTTTAAAGTTCATTTGGAAAGATAAATGTGCAGTAATAGCCAAGATCAATTTGGAAAATGAATAGCAGGGTAAGGGAGGGACAGGGGTTGCCTGCCAAATATCAAAATAAAATTTAAATTTGTAGGAATCAAAATAGCTTGGTAATGACACAGGATGGAGAAAAAAAATCAGTGGAATATAGAAACTGACCAATATATTTAGAATCAATATATAATGTATTTGTAATCAGTGGAGAAAATAGACATTTAGCATATGGCTAGGCATTAAAAGGTGATTTTCCACATAATAAACATATTTTGAGGGAAAAAAATAATTAGGGGACCTAATCATTCACTAAAAATTTATATGGGTTTAATAATCATGAAAAATGATAAGCTTATTTGAAAATATGGACTATGTTTATGACCTTAAAGGAGAGACTCCTTCTTGCTGCATGGAATATGAATGCTGTAATTTACCAAATTTGATGTATGTACATGAGAAACAAAAGTTGAAAGACCACTTACAACTGGGAGAAACTACTGGCACATATAAAACAAATAAACAGTTAGTTTCTAGAATATGTAAAGAACTCTTACAAATCATTGAGAAAAGGACAAACATACAACAAAAAAAATGGATACATTTTACAAAGAAATTCATATAAAAGGAAACATGGCTTACAAATGTGAACAGATGCACATCCTTATTTCAAGAAAATTCAAACTAAGGGTACTATTTTTCAGTCATCAAATTGGCAGAAAGTAAAGGCTTTGGTAATAGGTATTGGCCGTGATGTGTGCCTGTACTGCCAGTGGGAGCAAAGATGTTATAAGGTCACTTAGGAAGGCAATTTGCTGTAGGGTTTATTGAAATAACACTGTGTATATTCTTTTGACCCAGCAGCTCCAGTTCTTGGAATCACAGTTCCAGTGAACCTTCTTGATGAAGAGGTATTTATAAGGGAATTACTAGTGTTGAAATAGAAAAACACTAGTAACAACTTCAATGATGATGATAGGAGAGAAGCTAAATACATTATGGTACGTGGATATTCTGGATTCCTACTTAATCTAAAACAATGAGTGACGTCCATATCATTTACTTACATAGACTCTGAGACATCTTCATGGACGAAATTATACAGGGACTCATAAAAGGGCATATCATTTGTTTAAAAACACAAAATAAGCTGGGTGTGGCAGCATGCTCATGTAATCCCAACACTCTGGGAGGCTTACAAGAAGATTACAATTTCAAGTCCACCATGGGCCACTTAGTAACTGAGATCCTGTCTCAAAACAAAACAAAAAAAAAAGGACTGGAGATTTAGCTCAGTGGTTCCTCTACCTGCCTCGCTAGCACAAGGTTCCGAGTTTGATCCCTGGTACCAAAAACAAAACAAAACAAATACAAAACCAAAAAAACAAACCCCCAAAAACCAAAGAATTAAAAAGGCAGGAATGTAGCTCAGTGTGAAAACCCTAGCTTCAATTTCCAGTACTGCAAAAGTACACAAAATGCTAAATGCAGGTACACATATGGGTAAATATGTGCAGTGCTATGATCTGAGTATGAAGTTGGGGTGGGAAGGTAGCCATCTATGATAAGGTGGGCCCTTGAGATGCTGAATCTGCCAGTGCCTCGATCTTAGATTTCCCTTCTTCCAGAACTGTAAGAAATAAACTGGTATTTATAAGCCACCTGATCTGTGTCATTTGTTTGCGGCCAGAATGGGCTGAGATAAATATGTACATGAGTACATACAGCGGTACCTGTACACACAAACAGGATGTACGCTGCCTTGGTGACACTACCTTGGGAGGAGAAGAGAATTGGGAAGCAAAGGTGGTTAAATGTCTTATCTTGTATTTGTGTTCAGAATTAGTAGAAAACAAAAACAAAAACTATTAAGTATAGAAATTAAAATAATCAGGACAAAATGATCAGGCAATTGTCACGAATATTTTAGCATATTTCCATGTAGATTACTTTTCCTGTATGTTTTTTAGTGTTTCTGATCTTTTTGGTATGTTTTAAGGTACAAGTAATATTTGCTTGTTAAAAACAACC